GGTCAGTCACCACTACGCCCCAAAACTTTGGCGCTCTCTCCCTCGATCCGCCTCCGTGTCGCCCCCTCTTTCAAGACCCGCCTGGTGGTGGGGGTGGGGGGAGAGGGGGGGGTGGGGGGGTGCGTTTCTGCCCCGTTGCCATGGCGACATGGATGGGGTGGAGGGGGGAGGGGTATGGCGGGCGGATGGCTCGTCATCTCCATGGCGACCGCGGGGTTGATGGGTTGGTTGGTTGCTCGCCGTCTCCATGGCGACGCCCCCCCCCCCCTCCCCTCTCCCACAGGGCCGAGGATGCGGCGCGCGGGCTGTGCGGGGGATGTCTTCGCCGATGGCGACGGGCGGCGAGTGACCGAACCGACAGCGACGCGGGGAGGGGGCTTCCCCCAACCCCGGTAACACCCCCCATCCCCATCCCATCCCATCCCGCGTCAGCGGCGGTGGGGGAGGGGGGGTGGGGGCAGAAATACCCCCTCCGCCCCCCCCCCCCCCCCGATGCAGCGCCATTGAGCAATTAACAGAATTAACCGCATCGGAGGGTTGTTTTGAGATGAAGAAGTGCTGTAAATTCCAGGTGAGGGAGTGAGCGCCGCAAATCAGCCCGAGTGTGAGTGTGTGTGTGTCTGGTGTGTGTGTGAGAGTGTGTGTGTGTCTGTGTGTGAGGTGTGGGTGAGTGTGTGTGTGTGTGTGAGTGTCTGTGGTGTGTGTGAGTGTGTCTGTGGTGTGTGAGTGTGTGTGTGTCTGTGGTGTGTGTGTGTCTGTGCATCTGGTGTGTGTGTGTGTGCAATGTGTGTTTCTGTGTGTGTGCATCTGTGGTGTGTGTGTGCGATGTGTGTGTGTCTGTGCAATATGTGTGTGTGTGTGTGTGCAATGTATGTGTGTGTGTGTGCATCTGTGGTGTGTGTGCAATGTGTGTGTGCGATGTGTGTGTGTGTCTGCGCAGTGTGTGTGCAATGTGTGTGTGTCTGTGCAGTGTGTGTGTGTGTCTGCAACGTGTGTGGGCGGCTGTTGCAAGATTACATTTCTCCACAGCCTTCAGTGCACCCACAGCAGTTGAATGCTTCGCCTTACCTGGAGATTGCATTTCAAACTTTTATCCAGCAGCTGTTGATTTCGTAACCTTTTTGCATTTAATCTGGAGTGTACCGCGCCTTTCCGCCTTATCCTACTAGGTCCAGAGGCCTCAGAGGTGTTTCTTAGGATTTTGTTTCTTTTTAACTGTAAAGGACAGTCAGTGACTGTGCATTTTGTAGGTTGGCAAATGCGGAAGAATGTCCTGCAAATAGCCATGGAGTGAACGACCAATTTTGTCTGAGGGGTTTTGTTGGGAGAGAGAAACTCCCTTCTCTTTGTCAAACAGTGCCGTGGATGTTTAACGTTTAATTGAACGTCATCGGTTGAACATCATCCGAAGGACGGCACCTCCGACAATGCAGCTCACCCCACAACTGCACCGGAGTGTCAGCCTGGTCCGTGAGCTAAAATTCCCAGCGTGAGGTTTGTACCCACTATTTCCTGACGAAAACGAGAGCACTACCGACTGAGCCAGGCTGACACCACTAACATTTCCTCTGTGCGCGCGCGCGTGTGTGTGTGTATAAATAATAATAATAATAATAATCCTTGCATTTGATATAGCGCTTTTCACGTCAGGAGGACGTCCCAAAGCGCTTCACAGAACACACTGTAAAGTGAATTGACTGTATATTTGTGGGCGAACGCGGCAGCCAATTGCGCACAGCAATGTCCCACAAACAGTCGTAGATTGAAAATGACCAATTTATTATTGTTTTTGGTTTTGGAGGGATTATTATTAGGCTCTGTGTGGAGTAAGGAAACTTGCCCAAGGTTTCGCCCTCTGCCTGGAATTGAACTCAGGTCTCTCACTTGCACAGCGAGTGCTCTAACCACTGAGCTACAGGACTCCACAAAATGTCCTAAGACAGTTCGAGCTGAGGTCAGGAAGCATTTTTTAGTTATTTTGGGGTTGTTAGTCGATTGGAGGATCTCTTTCTGCAGGTAATAATCCCTTTAAAAAAAAATCTGTAATTTGGTCACCCAATCCATGTCTGCTTGGGGGACAACTGCTGTGCGCAATTGGCTGCTGCGTTTGGCCTACAAAATGTACAGTCAATTCACTTTACAGTATATTCTATGAGGTGCTTTGATGTCTCGATGATGTGATAAGGCGCTATATTATATGCAAGGATTATTATTATTTCACACCAAGGGTTGTGAAGATGTGGAACGCTGTTATAATAATACTAATAATCCTTGCATTTGATATAGCGCTTTTCACGTCTTCTCGACGTCTCAAAGCGCTTCACAGAATAGACTGTAAAGTGAATTGACCGTATATTTGTGGGCGAAACGCGACAGCCAATTGCGCACAGCAGCGTCCCACAAACAGTCGTGGATTAAGTGGCCAAATTATTATTGTTTTCTGTTTTGAAAGGATTATTTTAGGTGTGTGGAGTAAGGAAACTTGCCCAAGGTTTCGCCCTGATCTGCCGGGAATTGAACCCAGGTCTCTCACATGCAAGGCGAGTGCTCTAACCACTGAGCTACAGGACTCCACAGGATTGTAGCTGCGGAACCAGTCGCGTTGTTTACTTGGGTTGCAGAGTTATAAAGGGTGTAATGAAAGGGCAGAACATTGGAATTAAACAATTTGACAAAATCGGGCAAACTGGTCGAGCAGGTTCAAAAGGCTGAGCTGACTCTTATTTTCTTTCAAAAGCAAATGAGATAGACTTTGGTTAGGAAATAATATCTCGGGATACAGTGTGTATTTTGGAACATGATGCGTTCGAGCGACTGCCCGGCTGGTGGAAGACAAACTCGGTGGGACCTTGGTCTTCTTTCGTCGAGCAAATTCTTATGTTCCTGCAAATAACTCCAATCTCTGCCCGGCGTGACATAATATTTTAACCCCGAGCCTGCATAGCGCACAGGAAGTGAGGTCGTCCTGCGCAGCGCACCGGAAGTGAGGTCGGCCTTTTTTTTAATCAGAAAAAAAGAGCGAGAAGAGGACTGGCTAGTCGGCACCGGAAACTGGTGGCCGCAGTCGACCGGCGCGTTTACGCGAAGCAGAGTGGCGTTATAAAGGCGTTGTACAGTAAAACTCGCATATGTCCGATTTGTACAAATCGGATGATCGCTTAAGTCGTTGCAACTGCCCACGTCCCGTTCAAGAGTTTACATTCTATGTTATTTTGACGTAACGCATACTCTGCGAATGTCACATTAAATGTGCGCTCCCAAATTATGGCAGGTTTACTGCATAAGGAGACTCCCCTTTGTGGAGCACTTCAAGGCTACTCCGTGCGGAAGGCGTTCTATAAGTGCAAGTTACTGTTGTGTGGAGGATGATGGTGCTGTTGGGGAGAGGCGGGGGGTTAGAGGGGAGATGAAATGTGTTGCTGTCTGTGTTGGTGTGGGTTCCTGCACGCCCCAGTCTGAGCTGCTGATCACGGGTTGAACCATCAGTTAGCTACCTGTCGGTGGTTGGCTTCGAGGTTCAGGATGTGGTAGACATTGCGAGTTTGCTCGCTCACGAGTAGGAAGAGGCGGGCGGGGGCACAGAGGGCGGTGTGGTGTTGGGGGGGGTGGGTGGGGACTGTCTCGTTTTTTGCATAAAGTTCACTCCGACTCGTTCTCGGGTGTAATTTTTAAATTGTCTCCCGGTTTATTGTGTGTGATCTCTGTACGGTTGTACGCTCTAGAATGAAGTTTGTTCTTTAGAAGTTCCTGTGTGACTCACATACAGTTTCATCCTTCGCCCCCCCCCCCCCCCCCCCCCCCCCCCCCCATATCTCCTCCCCAAGCAGGTAGGTGACACTTCTGTGTGATTGCTATATTTTTGTGTGGGGGTGGGGAGGTGGGGGGAGATATATATATTGTGTGTGCTTCTCATAGTAACTGTTATTGTTACTCTGGGGGGGGGGTGGGGGTGGGGGGTGACGAGCGGAGAGAGCAGACAGGTTGGTAACGGTTCAAAAGATTCCGGAGGCAGGGAAGAGCAAGACCACCGAGCGCTTTACAAGTGAGAACGAGAATCTTGAATTCGATCCTCTAAGGGAACGGGCTTTTTTCTTAGCATTTTTCTTGTTGGTGTCTAGCACGCGTGTGCTTAAGAGAGACACACATGCGAACCAGAGAATGTCACAAATGTGTGCCACCTACACATGGAAATTTCACAGTGTCTGCTCTCTCCCTGAAGGGCCGGGGGAGGAGGGGGGCAGACAACAACGACGACAAATTACATTTACACAGCGCCTTTCACGTCGGAAAGACGTCCCAGAGCACTGGATAGTCAGGGATTTGCATCCAAGCTGGGATTTGGGATCAGGAGGGGTTGGGGGTAGGGAGGGTCGACGTTGAAGGGCGACCAAAGGCGCGGTCGAAGAGGAGGGTCTTGAGACTGGCCTTGAAGGAGGCGAGGGAGGGAGCGAGGCAAAGGGATGGTGAGTTGGAGTTCCAGAGTAAATGAGACTGAACGGATCTCTCTTTCAAAGGGACAGCACAGACACGATGGGCCAAATAGACCTCCTCCTCGTCCTCCTTCTTCTTTGCTGTGAATTTCTCTGATCATAAACGGGAACAGTCTCTTTCTGCCAATCGGTTTTCTTGGCATTGGGAGCTCGTGTAAACCACAGACCGTTTCACTGATCGTTCAGTTCTACATTTGTCTGGCGTAAGGAGGAACTCACATTTTTTTTTCAAAGTTTTTTCTATATATGTACAGTATTTTTTTAAAAAAAACTGCAGAGAAAAAGCAGCTGCCAAATACAGATTGAATTTAGGAACTTTCCAAACCTCTGCGTGCGCCATCTTGTATTTTAAGCCGACAGTCCTAAAGGTAATACCACCTGGATTCTGGCTGTGCTCTGTAGCTCAACATCACTGACGTGTGACACAGGCTACTGTGTGTGTGGGGCGGGGGGGTTCGGGCCTGTGTATAGTGTGACTGATTGTGTTATCTCTCTATGGTCTCTCCGCAGTGTATTCTCTGTCCCCGGGCTCCTGGCTGTTGACAGGGGATGACGACTAATCCCAAGGGAAACAAAGTGTTAAAGGTGAGGAATCGGAGCAGTCACTACGACCAGCTGGGCATCAGCTGGCTAAGCCTGCAGGTCATGAGGCTGTGGGTTCAAGCCCCGTTTTGAGGACTTGAGCTCACAGTCCCAGCCGTGCTTTGAATGAGATGTTAAAACCGAGGTCCCCTCTGTGCCCGTTCTGGTGGACGTTAAAGATCCTGAGTTGCTATTGGAAAGAGGGCGGGAGTTTGTTTTGGTCGACCATCCCGGAGAGATATCAATGCAAGCTGCTGTGAACAGCCGCGAGGCAAATGCCCAGTTTTATTGGTTTGAGGGGATTTTGTCTGCCTCACTTGCCTGAAAATACAGTTAGAAATGAGTGGAGAACCGTCTAGGCCCAGGCGTATCAATGAGACTGGGGTGGTGGCCAACACAAGGGTTTACGAGTGACGGTCTCTCCGCAGTGTAGGGGGAGTGAGGGGGGGAGATTGCGGGTTTGGTGGTGGGTGGGGGGAGAGGTTGTGGAGACGGGAGCGAAGTCTCCAGCCTCCCTCCACACTCCGTGATCCCAAACCCCTCCACCCCACCGCTCGGGTCCAAATCCCCGACTGTCCAACGCCTTGTGACGCCCTCCCGACGTGAAAGGCGCCGTGTGTAAATGTAATTCTGTATTGTATTGTAACAAGCCCTCTCCCCCCTCCCTTGCGGCCATCAGGTTAAGAAGGAGGTGGGTGAGAATGCCCCGGTGCTCAGTGACCAGGTGTTGGTGACGATGACAGTGCGGGAGCTGAACCAGCACCTGCGGGGCCTGAGCAAGGAGGAGGCGGTGCTGCTCAAACAGCGCCGACGCACGCTCAAGAACCGCGGTTACGCCGCCAGCTGCCGGATCAAGCGGGTCACCCAGAAGGAGGAGCTGGAGAAGCAGAGGTGCGACCTGCAGCAGGAGGTGGAGAAGCTGGCCAGGGAGAACGCCAGCATGAGGGGCGAGCTGGACGCCCTGCGCTCCAAATACGAGGCGCTCCAGAGTTTTGCCCGCACCGTGGCCAAGGGACCCATCCTGCCTGCCAAGGTGGCCACCACCAGCGTCATCACCATCGTCAAGTCCTCCAGCTCGTCAAGCTCTGCGCGCTTCTCCACTTGTTCCTAGTCTTGGCTTCCAGGCGTCATGGCCTCCCCTTCCACTCTACCACCCCCCCCCCACCCTCCTCCACAAGACCCCCTCCAGCCCTCCGCCACCCATAACCGCCACACACACACGCCCCCATCGTACACCCTCATCACACACACGCACACCCATCACACACCCTCCAACACCATCACCAGGCTGCCAATGGAAAGGTAATCTAGGAAGGCGGTGCCTTTGGACTGAAGTGGGGGCTTCATTTTTTCCTCCAGAAACCTCGCTCATTCACTGGGCGCAAATTGGCTCCTTTTCCAATACAAATCTCTCTCCTCTCGCTCCCTGTCTGTCCCAGGACACTTTCAATCCATCCCCCACCCCCATCCTCTGACAGGATGCTTCATTGCATTCCACCGGCCCTCTCTTACCCCCCATCCCCCCCTCCGCCTGCCCCCTCCCCCCCCGGAGTGTCTATAAATCTCTGAGCCCCGAACACTTGCACTTGTTCAAAAAAAAGAGCAGTTTCAATTGTGCAACACACACGTGTAGTGAGAGCAGCTTGCTGTTGTTGCTGTGATTTGTTGTCTTTAATCCCTCAAACTCCATGACGCCATAGCCCAGGCCAAACCCAAACATGGTGAAATCTTCCCTCAGTGTTGCAGAGTGTTGTGTGTGGTGTGTTGGGGTTTGTGTGTGTGTGTGTGTGTGGTGGTGGTGGTGTTCCTCCCCCTGGAGACTGGGTGGCGGTGTTGAGATGTGGCTGGTGGCATTGGCCACTTTCGGCTAGTTAAACTGAACATTGACTAGCCACGGAGCAGGAGATGTGGTCCTCTGTATGAACCACGAGACGTCCGAAGACTTTTCGGGAAAACGGGAAGTGATGGGAGGGGGTTTGATCCCTGCCGGACAGCGTGAAAGTCGGAGCGGGATTGGGTGTGCAGTGGGTGGGGGGAGCTAAGGACAGCCACTGAACTATGTTGTTACGTGACTTTGATTTTATATACATGACAAATTAACATTTACACAGCGCCATTCATGTCAGGAGGGCGTCTCAAAAGTGCTTCACGCACCTGGTTGGCCAATCTGGGGCAGACGGTGTGTTTGTGGGGGGCTGGTGGGCAAGTGACCGAAAGCACGGTCAAAGGGTTAAGTGTTGAGGTGGTGGCTTTAAATGTGTACAGGGAGGGAGTGGGGTGGACGTTTGTGAGTCAGAGGGACTCGGATGGAGTTCCAGAGAGCAGGGGAACAACGATTGAAAGCTCACCCCAAGTGCTTTGGGATGAGAATGTGAAGCAGACCAGTGTTCTGGGGGGGGTTCAGGTCACAGAGGTTTGTGTGTGTTGCCCTTACAGCAACAACAACAACAACACCTTGCATTTATACAGCGCCCCTCACACAGGGTAGCGTCCCAGGGTGTACCAGCCTAATGATTTCTTTGATGTAATAAAGCAATGCTTAGATCGGACTCATTCCCCACTCCTTCACCCGCCCTCCCCAATGCCCCAACCCCTCCTCCCACGGCTCCCCTCCCACCAGGTGCTGCTAAACTGAGGGAGAGCAGGATTGCGATCAGTCTCCAGGACTATTACACTGAGCTGAAATGTCGTGTGTGCGGAGCTCCTGCTATGACCGGCCAACACCATGTGAGCTGCCTTCCTCCCAGTGTCATTGTCTCTCTGTAGAGTTTGTAAGTGCTGATTGATTAGAGTATTTTTTGCACTTGATTTTCCTCTCTCTGTCTGCTGCTGGCAAATGACAACAACAAATTACATGTGTACCGTGCCTTTCATGTCAGGAGGATGTCCCAAGGCGCTGGAACAAGAAGAAGAAACTAACAGATCGGACAACCGCCTCCCCATTCATCACACCGGCGCCCCCAGTTGTGTGTTGCACAAGCAGTGCTGGGGGATCGGGGTGTGTGGGGGTGGGCGGGGGGTAGCGAGACCCTCCATGTCTGCTCTATGCCTTCCAAGTGCTCCCTGTGGGTTGCTTCCAGCGGTAGGAACGGGTGGGGGTGGAGGGTGGTGGGCAGAGACATTTCCTCCTCCCTCCACCCCCCCTCCCCAGAGCCAACACTCCTCGGGGGATGGAGGGCGGCTGCTGATGAGCGAGAAGTGTCAGATTGTGTGGACATTCTCCCCACCCCCCAACCCACCTACTCTTCCCCCGCGTCCCAGCCCTGTTGTAAGCACCACTGCAATCCACAGTGTCTAAATGTCACATCGCTTGTCCATCACCCTTTCACACACGCACATACACACACACCGACCCACTTCACTCCACAATCTCGTGTCATGGCAAGGGACATTTCCTCCCAACATTTACTTAGGAATAAACTATGCACTGTTTGTGATAAAGTGACAAATACAGGCGGCAGGCAGCGAGTTACACAGCCCCCAGGATCGATTCCCAATTCACAAGCCTTTGTTTTGTGGCTTTGTGTCCTGACTGACTGATCGGACGCCGACTGATCAGAGCTGCAGCCTGGCAACTCGCTGTCGACCACTATGTATAGTATATATTGTACTCTAAATGCCTTCCTGGTCTTGCCATTGTTAAAATATTTATTTTTAATTTTCTTTTTTTTGCTTTTCCTTTTTTTTAAAAAAGAAAATAAATTATTGGATTCCCCCCTCCCCCCCCCCCCACCCTTTATTTTTTTGGATTAATATCATTGCAGATGTCACCTTGTGTATATACAGTATTTACGTTTCCAATGTCTCTGTAAACTGTTGTAATTTTATTGCTGTACATATGTCTGCTCTGACTGTTTTATATGCTACAGATAAAAGCATTTTCTCATTAATCGGTTTGGTTTCGCACGAGTGTGTGTTCGAATGAGACGTTAAACCAAGGTTTCAGGTGGACATTAAATATTCAATGGCACCATTCAGAAAGAAGGGAGTTTCCCTCTCCTGGTTTCCTGGCCAACAGTCCCCCAAATAAAATCGGACACTCACTCCATGGCTGTTTGTGGGACATTGCTGTATGCAACTGTCTGCCTCGTTTCGCCCACAAAATATACAGTCAATCACTTTACAGTATATCCTATGAAACGCTTTGAGACATCTCAACGATGTGATAAGGCACTATATGAAATGCAAGGATTATTATTGTGTGTACGTGAACAAATGCAAGGATTATTATCCACGTTGCTCTATTTGAACTTGATTTGCCACCGATCAGCCCTTGTGTGAACCCTCTGTGAGATCTTGGCTGCCTCCTGTGTTGGTTTCTCTATCACTAAAAGAGACATGGCTCACATGTTCAGATCACAGATACCTCCTCTTGTTCGCAAACAGCAATCCCAGGTAAGAGGATTGAGTGCTCCTCACCCCAACATGTTTATACGTAACAATGTTAGGTCTCAAATCTCACCACAGTCCAAATTCGTAAAATAAAAATCCCCATCACCATTGACTGTACTTGGGGTAGCATTAAAATCTAGGCCAGTAGGTTACAAATGTATTTGAGGCCTATTCTATAACTAACCAAAGAGCGCAGCTACTAAAATAAATGCTATCTCATTAACACAGGTACTTTGCTGAGGAAATTCCACCTCCTGCTCACTCCGGAGCATCCCCTCCCCCCCCCCCCCCCTCACACGCACACACTTCTTCCAGTTTATTTTAATATTAATAAACCCTTGCATGTATATACCGTAAAGTGGAGTGGCTATTTTGTGGGAGAAACGTGGCAGCCAATTACGCACAGCAGTGTCCCACAAACAGTCGTGGATTGAGTGATGAACTTGTTTTTTTTTGGGGGGGGGATTATTACCCCCGGAAAGCGATCTGCTAATCGACTAACAGACCGTCTGTAAATGAGACGGAGCAAGCCGGCTCAGGGGCAACACTAGCAGATGCCCCAGGGGCACGGGTGGGTTCACAGTACACGAAGAGGCAGAAGTCTAGGACGCACTTTGGAGGGGTAATTGACGGTGGGAATGGATTCAGGAACTGGGGGGGGAAACGATTCCCCGATTAAGGCTGGATTTAACGATTTTCCACTGAACCTTACGTTTTTAATACATAACAGTGTCTCGGGCTAAAATTAGGTGGAAATTCAGACCTCTGTGTGTGTGTGTATGTATGTACGTGTGTATCTAGTGTGTGTGTGTGTCTCAGTGTGTGTATGTATGTCTGTGTGTGTGTATGTATGTACGTGTGTATCTAGTGTGTGTGTGTGTCTGTGTGTGTGTGTACTTCCCAATGACTCCAGCAGAGGGCACTCATGTGACACCTGCACAGGGGAGTCTGTGTGTCTGTCTGTGTCTGTCTGTCTGTCTGCAGAGGTGGGGAAGGGCAGAGCAGAGGGGGTTCCTGACTGCTGTCTACACAGTCTGGGAGACAAGACACGTCGTCTGCAAAAGGAGACACGTAAGTGCTGTGATTTGCTGGGACTTGCGGCGGAGCTTCTTGTGGAATCTTAACTCCTGATTGCGGTGCAATGTAAACCCTGCGCTCGAGAGATAGTTGGTGTTTAAATACCCACCAACAACAACAACAAATGACATTTCCACCGCGCCTTTCACCATCGGGAGGACATCCCACGGCACTGGACAGTCAGGGATTTGGACCTGAGCTGGGGGTTGGGATCAGGCGGGGCGGAGGGCGGGAGTAGGAGGGTGACTGGAGGCTCGGCTGAGGAAGAGGGTCTCGAGACGGGGCTTGAAGGAGGCAAAGGGAGAGGGCGAGATGAAGAGATTGTGGGATGGAGTTCCAAAGGGTTGGGGGCAGAGAGGCTGAAGGTTCTCGGCAAATTGTTTAATCCTAATGCTCTGTCCTTTTCCCCACACCCTTTAATACCTCAAGTACCCAATTTGCTTCCTAAAACCGTGTGTCCCCCCAAAAAAAAACCTTATCCCCTCAAATGAGGTCCTCTTTACGCTTCTGTATAACTTCAATGCATTTTACTCTAAGAAACCGCTTGTCACCATGTTTATTTCTGTCACTTGGCAAATTTCTCGTCACATGAACCCAAGGCTGTTATTGCAATATTCCTTAACGCATTCGGTTCCTTATTTAAAGGTCAGCGTTAGAGCGTCTTTTGCAATCTCTCATTCCAGTAACCTCCTGGCTGTTTGCGGGACAATCCTGAGTGCAAGTGGGGCTGCCGCTTTCGCCTACAAAAATACGCTTTAACTACACCGTGCAACGCAAGTAGTTATTTATTATTATTGCACTTGTTCTCTCGTAATTTGAAAGGATCAAATGGGACAGTGGGCCTTCTTCATCCCACTCGTGTCAGCCTGGCTCAGTGGTCGCGCTCTCGCCTCTGAGTCAGAAGGTTGTGGGTTCAAGCCCCTCGTCGGGACTTGGAATCACTGTAATGCAGCGCTTGGGGCGTTCTGTTGAATTGTCAGGAGGTGCCATCCTTCAGGTGAGACGTTAAACCGAGCTCCCGTCTGCCCGTTCAGGCGAACGTCAAAGATCCCGTGGCGCTACTCGAAAAGAGAAGGGTATTTTCTCTCTCTCGGTGTCCTGGCCGGTAATCCCCCAAATAAAACGATCGCTCGCTGTTCGTGGGACGTTGCTGTGATTAATTGTGCTGCTGCATGTCACCCACAAAGTGCACAGTCACTACACTTTGATAAGGCGCCGTATCAAATGCAACGGTTAGTGTTATGAATCATGTTGTAAGAACAAGCCCGGGCCGGATAGACTTTAACAGCAAAGCCCTTGGGTAACTTGCCAGGTTACAATCTATCCTTAGCTCAGGGTCACATCATTAGATACACAGCAAGGCCACAAGTCAGCATGTGTCTGAGGGAGGGGAGCGTAAAGGGGTAGCGTCCGCCACACTTCTCTTGAGGGAGTGGGGTTGGGGGTCCGGGGGTGGGGGGGGGGGGGAGCTTTGGCATTGGCTGGGGGTGGGTGGGGGGGCGGGAGGTGTTGGCAGATGAAAGTGGATGGCGGCAGCGCTTTCAGACTATCCGATGTGATTGGTAGTGTTTTCTGCTGCCTGTTTACTCTTCCTGATCGGAGTACAGGGAGGGAGGGTCTGGTCGGTGTGGGGGAGCTGTTAAAGGGACCTTTACACTTTCCTCTCTGGCTCTCGGGTAAAGGCAACATTGCAGTCCGTCTCGACCAGTGAGTGCCGGAGCCGAGAATCCTTGGCATTCGCTGACCTTTTTCTTTTGCTTTTACACGATTGATTTACTCCGGGTTTGGGATTGAGAGAGAGAAACAATGGGGGGATTGTAAATGGGGGTCTCACACACACATACACACTCCCTCTGACTGAGCCTCAGACAGAAGAAATACAACCTATTTACTAAATTGTCTTTCGCCTGATTTGAAAAGAGTTTAACGATAATAATAATTATTATTATCCTTGAATTTGATACAACGCCTTATCACGTCTTCGAGTCATCTCAAAACGCTTGACAGAATATATTGTAAAGTGAATTGGCTGTGTATTGTGTGGGCAAAACGCAGCAGCCAATTGCACACAGCAGCGTCCCGGTCGTGGATCGAGTGACCCCCGTTTTTGTTTAAGCCAACGATGCTCCCTTCTCTCCAGAGAATCCTCCCACTCAGCTCCTGTTAACCCTGCAAACCAAAGCCCTCGCGGGTCGGGTGGTCCTAACTGGACAAGCAGCGGGGAAAGCTGTGATGGGACGAGGGTAGGGTTAGGATTTTGGAATAATCATCGAATTGGCCAAAGGGCCTTCTTAAGGTGAATCTCTCTTGGGACCTGGTGTGTGAATATCTTCTGTGTGTTTCAGGTGTGCGAAGGCGATGTCCAGGCAGGTGGAGTTGCTGTGGGAAGGTGCGGTTTCACCGGTACAAAGGGAGGCGGGCAAGCCCGAGATTGTCCCCCGTTGGCGGCGATGGTTACTGCTGCTGCTTGCCCTCGCTCTCCTCCTGGGGTTTGCCCAGCTCCTGCCCGGCACTCTGACCCTCCGGGGGCCCGAGAGGCAGCCCCGACAGCTGGCAAGAGAGAGCTGGCAAGGGGGTGACGGCGGGGGGAGGGGGCCGGGGGGGCTGGCAGGGTGTGGGTCTGTCCCGGAGGCCAGGCGGTTTGACTGCTACCCCGAGAGGGATACGGTGGTGACCCGGAAGCTGTGCCAGGCTCGCGGCTGCTGCTTTGTGCAGGTACTTCGCAGACTGTCCGGGGTTCCCTGGTGTTTCTACCCTCCCACCTTCCCCACTTATACCCTGACAAACCTGAGCCAAACCCCGCTGGGGGAGACTGGAGTTCTAACCCGCAGCCAGAAATCCTACTACCCCAACGACGTGCTCAATCTCCAGCTGGACGTCACCTTTGAGACCAACACCAGGCTCCACATCAAGGTAAGCCAGCCTCGTCCGCCACCCCTCCTGACTCCAACCCCCAGCCAAACCCTTCGCTGTCCAGCGCCTTGGGATTTTTCCCAACACGGAAGGCGCTGTATGAATGCAAATTTACGATAATAATCCTTGCATTTGATACAGCGCCTCATCACGTCCTTGAGACGTCTCAAAACGCTTCACGGAATATACCGTGAAGTGGAGTGACTGTGTATATCGTGGACAAAAAACGAGGCAGCCAATTGTGCACAGCAGCGCGTACACAAACTGTTGTGGGTTGAAGTGACTGATTTTTTTTTATGGGATTATTACCCCTGGAAAGCGATCCGCTAATCGACTAACAACTGGGTTCCTACTTACTGCTGGGTAAACAGGGGCGTGTGGGTGGAGTAAACTTAAGGTTTCGCCCTGACCCACCCGGGAATCAAACCCAGGTCCTCTCGCTTGCGAGGCGAGCGCGCTGACCATTACACCCTGGGACTCCGTAGAACCTGGAGCAACCAACTGCGCTCTCGCCTCTGGGGCAGGAGGTTGTGGGTTCAAACCCCCATGACTCCAGACTTTGAGCTCGCGGTCCAGGCTGACGCTCTGGTGCAGTGCTGCGGGGATGTGTGTGTGTGTGGTGATGGGCGGGGGTTGGTGCGGGGAAGCATTGCATTGTCGGAGGCGCTGTCCTTCGGAGGATGAGATGATAAACTCAGCTGCTGTCTGTGGTGTCCATGGGGAGCTCCGGGATTGTGATGTGTGCCTGAGCTCCAGTAACAACATGCTCTCACTCACTCTCTCTCTCTTTCTCTCTCTCTTGTGGTCCTCAGATCCGTGACTCCCGCAGCCACCGGTACGAAGTCCCGATCGAGGTGCCCCCGCCCGCCCACCGAGCCCCCGCCCCCACCTACACGGTGCAGTACTCCCCAAAGCCGTTCGGGCTGATCGTCACCAGGAAATCCACAGGAGCCGTGCTGTACGGTTTGCCACGCTCCCTCGGGGGTTGGTGGGGGGGTGGGAGCGAGCGGGGGGAAGGGGGGTCTGAGGGAGGGAAAATAATACATGGGGGTGGAGGGTGAGCAGGGGTAGAGGCAGCAAAACAGCCGTGTGCATGAGAATGCAGCAATGATGTTCTCAATAGTGTATGTATGTTTGTGTGTATATGTGCCCACATGTGTGTACGTTTGTGGGTGAGAACGTGCACATGTGTGTTAGGGTGTGCGCTGCGCGTGTGCATAGGTGTGACCGTGCACGTGAATGAGTATTTTTGTGAGTGTGAATCTGTGCACATGTATGCGTGCACGTGTAGCTGTGCGTGAGAGTGCACATGTACATTTGTGCACGTGTTCGTGTGTGTGTGTGTGTGTGTGTGTGTGCCTTATCGTGTGTGTAACCTGCGTTCCCCAGTGGTGGGGGGAGTTGGGGGGACAGAATGGCCGAGTAGCTGTGCTATGAGGCTGACCCCGTGTTTCGGTGTTGCCTCTGACAGGCTGAACACCACGCTGGCTCCTCTGCTCTTCGCCGACCAGTTCCTGCAGATCTCCACGTCGTTGCCGTCCCCTTACATCTATGGTCTGGGGGAGCACCAGGCCGGCTTCCTGCACACCGTCCAGTGGAACACGCTGACTTTCTGGGCTCGGGACTGCCCCCCCAGGGTCAGTACCCCCTCCACCCCTGCCGAGGGTCAATACCCTGGCCACCAAGGCCAGTAACCCCGCTCCACAGGGTCAGTAACCTCACCCCAGGGTCAGTAACCCCACCCCAGGGTCAGTCACTCCGCCCCCAGGATCAGTAACTCCACCCCCCAAGGTCAGTAAACTCCCCCCCCCCCCACCGGCGTCAGTGCCCTGCACCCCACCGCAGGGTCGGGTGACGCAGGGGGTAGTGGGGAATGTGTGTCGTCCCATCCTGACATTGTGTGAATGCTCCATCGTCTCCTGTTTGAGGTCTGATCTCTGTCTCAAGCCGCCCTTCATCGCCCCCATCTTTATCTCTCTTTAAATTCCCTTCCTCAAGACTTTCACTGCACCTATGGTCACCCCACCCCACCCCACCCCCCCTTCCGCTCAAATCCAGCCCCGCCACTGTCCCACTCTCCTGTGTGAAGGCTACTGTATAAATGCAAGTTGTTGTTGTTGTTTTTCCAGGACTTTGTTAACCTGTATGGAGTCCATCCCTTCTACCTGTCCATCGAGCCCAATGGCACATCGCACGGTGTCTTCCTGCTCAACAGCAACGCCATGGGTAAGTGCAGCGGGGTGGGGGGGGTGATTGGAGGTGGGAGGGGGCTATAAGGGGGAATTTGCGGCGGGTTGCGGTCATTCCAAAGTGGTCATTGGGTTGAAGTTTTTAGCTTCAGAGTTGTACCCGACAAGTGGCTCAACAACATCAACAGACTACGTTTACAAAGCGGCTTTCATGACGGGAGGACGTGCCAAGGCGTTGGACAGTCAAGGATATGGACTCAGAATTGGGAACAGGGAGGGGTGGAGGGCAGGGAGGGTTGGGGTAGGAGGGTGACCGAAGGCTCATTCGAAGAGGAGGGTTTTTGAGACATGCCTTGAAGGAGGCGATGGAGAGAGGGAGCAAAGCGAAGGGATTGTGGGATGGAGTTCCAGAGGGTGGGGGCAGAGGGGGCTGAAGGCCTGACTGGCGATGGTGGGGCGGGCAGGGCAGGGGGACGTGGAGCAGGCCAGAGCCCGCTGAGCGGAGGGGAGTATGTCAGTGTCCGAGCGAGGAAGCTGAGCTGGTCTGTGGACGGTGACTATCTTGTCAGAGCACAAGAGGTCAGGTTGAAGAGAAGCCTTTTGTCTGAAGCTGCGGGGAGTGGGGGAGGTCGAATGAGTGAGGAGCGAGGAAGAGATGGACTAACGACCGTCAGAGATAATAACACCCGGCTCTGTGTTCCTCTTGCCCACAGATGTGGTCCTGCAGCCTGTACCAGCCCTGACCTGGAGAACAATAGGAGGCGTCCTAGACTTCTACATATTCATGGGGCCCGACCCCAATTCTGTCATCCAACAATATCTAGAGGTCGTAGGTACGCGCCGTGTGTGGGGGTGGATTGTCACAAACTAATGACTATAAATGGGCATCTTTTAACAATAATAATAATCCTTGCATTTGATATAGCGCCTTATCACGTCTTCGAGGCGTCTCAAAGCGCTTCACGGGATACACTGTAAAGTGGAGTGACCGTGTATTTTGTGGGCGAAACGCAGCAGCCAATTGCGCACAGCAGCGTCCCCACAAACAGCCGTGGATTGAAGTGACCAATTAAATTTTTTGGAGGGATTACTTACTCCAGAAAAGTGATCCGCCAATCGACTAACAACCAGGTTCCTACTTATTGCTGGGTAAACAGTGCTCTGACCACTGAGCTACAGGACTCTCTGGTAGCTCAGGTGGTGCAGACCGGAGTGATGTACGAGGTGAATCTTCACGGATCAGCTCCATTGAGAGTAACAAACTGAGCCGCTGTATTTAACCCTTCATGTGCTGCAGGTCGCCCCGCCATGCCCCCCGCATGGGGTCTCGGCTTCCACCTCTGCCGCTGGGGGTACAGGACCAGTAACAGAACCTGGCAGGTGGTCAAGGAAATGAGAGACGCCGGCATTCCACAGGTACAGCTCTCCTTCACCTCCCTCCCACCCTCCCTCATCGCTCCCTCTCTCGTCGCTCCCTCCCCCTCCCCCCCCTCTCCCCTTCCCTCCGCGCCCTCCCCTTCTCTCCCCTAGTGGCTCAGTCGGGGTGTGAGCCAGACAGACCCGGTGATCCGAATGCTGAGACGTACATCTCTTGTCTCCTAGGACGTACAGTGGAATGACATCGATTACATGGATCGTTACCTGGATTTCACCTTTGACGCCCGGACATTTGACAGCCTTCCCGACCTGGTGAAGGACCTGCACGACCACAGACAGAGATACGTCATGATCCTGGTAATGAGAACCTGGGGCTCCGTGTGTGCCCAATGCTCTGCACACCTGTTACAAATCATTTAATAACAACAATAATAATCCTCCTTAAATTGGAAGCGCTTTGAGACGTCTCAATGACATGATAAGACGCTGCATCGAAAGTATAAAAGGATAATTATTGTTCTGTGTTTGCCCTGCGCGTGTCCAGGACCCTGGCATCAGCAGCACTCAGACACCTGGGACCTACTGGCCCTACGATGAGGGTCTGAAACGTGGCGTCTTCATTAACAACGCAACTGGGAACCCGCTGATCGGACAGGTAGAGAGACAGACTGACCGCGTGGGGGGGTTGGGGGCGAGGCGGGAGAAAGTTGGGGGGACTGGACTGGGTATCAATAGTATCATTGGGATTGTATAGAACCAAACCTCCACCTCACGTTATGGACATTATTCAAGCGCTCTGAGACGCTACCCTGCCTGAGGGACGCTGTATAAATGCAAGTTGTTATTATTATAATAATAATACTCGCATTTGATACAGCTCCTTATCACGTCGTTGAGCCGTCTCAAAGCGCTTCGCAGAATATACTGTAAAGTGAATTGACTGTATATTTTTTTGTGGGCGAATCCCAGCAGTCAAATGCACAAGCAGTCGTGGATTGAGTGACCATTTCTTTTTGGAAGGAATTATTACCCCCGGAAAGCGATCCGCCAATCCATTAACAACCTGGTTTCCCACTTACCGCTAAGTAAACAGAGGCGTGCGGAGTAAGGAAACTTGCCTAAGGTTTCGCCCTGACCGGGAATCGAACCCGGGTCCTCTCGCTTGCGAGGCGAGTGCTCTAACCACTGAGCTATAGGACTCCGCATTGATCGTAGAGGACGAGCAGGTGGACCTGGATTGTCAGGAACACTTAGTGAAGTGGCTTCTGTGATGGAGACGCTTCTCTTGCAGTTTGCATTGCGTCAGATTTCTCTGTTTCCCGGGAGCAGGTGTGGCCGGGACTCACGGCGTTCCCAGACTTCAGTGACCCCAAGACCCAGGGCTGGTGGTACGAGAATCTCCTGCGGTATCACCAGGCGGTGCCGTTCGACGGCGTGTGGATTGTGAGTGGCTCGGCTTAGCGCACAGGGCAGCACCGGCGGTGTAGCCAGGGGCCACCGCAGGAAGGGACCGTCCGCAAATTAACTCTTGTACCAGAACAGAAACCGATCGGCCTTGCCGTTACACTCCGATCCCTCACTCAGATCTTTAACATCAACCCTCAACACACAGAGCGGGTCTCAGTTTAATGTCTCAGCCGAAGGACGGCACCTCCGACAATGTACCACGCCCCACACTCCTCCCCCACCCCCCCAGCACTGCACCGGAGAGTCAGCTTAGACTAAAGCCCTGCAGGTGGGCTCGAAGCGAGACTGCTGCTGACCGAACAGCAAAAAATTCTCACACGGGGCTTTTTCTGGAATGTTCCAGGACATGAACGAACCTTCCAATTTCTTGGACGGATCTACGGAAGGCTGCCCGTCAGACCGGTTTGAAAATCCGCCGTACGTACCAGGTAAGAGGCATGCGCTGAGTGGGGGTGGGGGGAGGGGGGGCTGCCGCCGATGGGGTTTGGGGCTGAGACGGAGAGAAGAGCCAGAGATCACTAACGTTGTTGTGATCTTTCATTACCAATATTCAAGGCTTCACGAGGCTGAAGGGTAAATAGTCAGAGATGACGCTGCTGGTTGGGCAAACAGTAACAAGAGGAATGGAATGCTCTCTCTCTCTCTCTCTCTCTCTCGCTCTCTCTCTCCCTGGAGGGACACATCCTGCTTACCTAATTCCAGAAAGTATTAGGCACAGGTTGGCAAGAGTCAAGGCTTGGGGACCCCAAGGTTGGGATAATTGTTGAGTCTAAAACCGTAGTAGCTTGCCATTGATATGCGTCTGGCAAGCTCTGGCATGCGTCTGGCAAGCTAGGACCACCCTACCCGTTAGGGCTTTGGCTTGCACAGTTAACAGGAGCCGAGTGGGATGACTCCTTGACCCCCAGTGACTGGTCGGCCCTTCCCGGTCCTGCCACTGAGCCAGGCCGGGCCGTGCCCTGGAATACTGCGGACCCAGCTGGCTCAGAAACCGGACTAGAGACCGCCACAGAGGCCTGGCTCGATTCTGCCATTCCATTGCCAGGCCTTGCCATGCTGGAGCCAATTCAGCTCCGTAGGAGTCGGTGGACCTGAAGTTCTCGCTGGTTGTGCTCAGTCTGGTCAGCAGGTGGCGCGGCCCCGGTTGCTGTTCGGGTGAGTGTTCCACCTGGTGGTCGGATTGAGTCGTGAATACTCAGGACACCAGGAGAGACCAGACATGAGATTGCTGGTTAATAATAATAATATTAATAATAATAATCCTTGCATTTGATGCAGAGCCTTATCACGTCTTCGAGACCTCTCAAAGCGCCTCACGGGAGAAACTGCAAAGTCATTTGACTGTGCATTTTGTTTGCGAAACCCACCAGCCGATTGCGCGCAGCAGAGTCCCGCACAAACAGTCGTGGATTGAGTGACCAAATTATTATTTTATTTATGAATGCAGATCTTGATCTATTCCTGTCTCTCTTGCCCCCCTCCCCCCAGGAGTGCTTGGTGGGCAACTGCGGAGTAAGACTATATGTGCCTCTGCGAAGCAGAGCGTGTCTCTGCACTACAATGTGCACAGTCTGTACGGACTGATGGAAGCAAAGGCGACTGCAAGGTCAGTGTGTATGTTATTGACTATTGACCGATTAGTGACCTCTCAAAGCATTGTCACAGTTTGCATTTTAAAGTGCAGTGACTGTGTTTTTTTTGTAGGTGACTCTGCAGGTGAAAGAGTTCCTTTTTTTTTTACATTTAATTGCATTTGCTGTTTATATTTTTCTTTGAATTTTCGTGCCCTATTGAACGTATTTTCCCCTTTTTCGTTTCATGGGCATTGTCTACAGAATACACAGTCACTACACATCACAGTAAATCCTGTGAAGCGCTTTGAGACACCTTCCTGACGTGAAAGGCGCCTCATCAAATATAAGGATTAGTATTGTTATTGCAAGATTATTATTATTATATGAGTGTTAATTACAAGATTGTCTAGAAAGTGTTGGTGCTCTCTAATGGCTATAAAGGTTACTGCGTCAATGTGCCAATACACCATCAATGTACTGAACATCTCTCTCTCTCTCGCTCTCTCAGCGCTTTGATTAAGATTCTCAACAAGCGTCCGTTTGTAATTTCTCGATCCACCTTCCCAAGTCAAGGCAAGTACTCGGGGCATTGGCTGGGAGACAACAGGAGCCAATGGAAGGACATGTACTACTCCATCCCAGGTACTCAGCTCACCTGCCCGGGTTCTCTCTGATCTTCTCCTCACCGACACTTCACTTTACTACGTCCTTCAACGCAATTTTGACCCTGATGTCGCTGTCGCCATTTTTAAGTTTCACCTGACACTCCAGTGCAGTGTTACAATAATAATAATAATAATAATAATTCTTGCAATTGATAAAGCGCCTTACCGTATTGAAAAGTTTCAAAGAGCTTCACAGAATGTATTGTAAAGTGTGTGTTTTGGGGGCGAAACAGCCGTGGATTGAGTGACCACATTCTATTTTTTTGGAGGGATTATTACCCCCGGAAAGCGACCCGCCGACCGACTAACAAGTCCTGAAGCTCAGTGGTTAGAGCACTCGCCTTGCAAGCGAGATACCTGGGTTCAATTCCAGGAGGGCGAAATCTTGGGCAAGTTTCCTTACTCCACACGCCTAATAATCCTCCAAAACCAAACAATAATAAATTGGTCATTTTCAATCCATGACTATTTGTGGGGACACTGCTGTGCGCAATTTGCTTCTGCGTTTCGCCCACAAATATACGGTCAATTCACTTTGCAGTCTATTCTGTGAAGAGCTTTGAGACGTCGAGAAGACGTGAAAAACGCTATATCAAATGCAAGGATTATTATTATTATTATAACAACCAAGTTCCTAGTTACTGCTGGTAAACAGAGGTGTGTGGAGTAAGGAAACTTAAGGTTTCTCCCCGTCTTGGTCGGGTCATCTCGCTTGCGAGGCAAGTGCGCTAACTGCTACACCTCAGGACTTCACAGGACTGCGCTGGGGGAGCGCAACAGTGTCGTTGGTGCTGTCGTTTTGACGAGACTCTATCGCTCCTCCACCCCCCCCCACCCACTCTGTGTCCTGCAGGAATCCTGAATTTTAACATGTTCGGGATACCGCTGGTTGGCTCGGACATCTGCGGCTTTGGTGACACGACCACCGAGGAGATGTGTGTCCGCTGGACGCAGCTCGGGGCTTTCTACCCGTTCTCGCGCAACCACAACATGCTGGGCACCAAGGTGAGGACCAGGGCTGGTCACCGCGAGGCCAAGCCTCCGCGATTCCTTCTTGACGTCTCTCTCTGAAGACTTGCTCCCCGCCACCTCCGCTCGGCCGGCTCTGGCGTCCTGCTTGTCCCTCGTGCCCTCCGGCTCCACCCTCGCCAGCCGCGCTTTAGGCCACTACGCCCCGAAGCTCTGGAACTCTCTCCTTCGGTCCCTCTGCCTCGTCCCCACTTTCAGCGTCTGCAGGTCACACCTGAAGAGCTTCCCCTGTGATCGCGCTTAGATCCCTTTTAGGAACTAATATCTCAGGATACGACATATAGTTTGCGACGCGACATGTGTAAGCGGCTGCTGGGACGGTGGAAGGAGAAACTGGATGGACCTCGGTCTTCTTTCGTCCAGCAATTCCTGTGCACTTACGGTCACCACCCCCAGTCCCCCGGCTTGGTCTCGTGCTCCGCCTCTGCTCTGGGACGCTGCCCCTTGCGTGATGCGCGCCGGGTAAATGCAAGTTTCTGTTGGGTGTTCTCGTCCTCGAGGTAACGTCTCTGCTCTGACCCGCAGGCCCAGCAGCCCACAGCTTTCAGCACCTCGGCTCAGGCCGCCATGAGGACAGCCCTGAGGACCCGCTATTCCCTTTTCCCGTTTCTCTACACGCTGTTCCACCGGGCGCACGTACTGGGCCAGACCGTGGCCAGACCTTTGCTCTTCGAGTAAGTTTCTCCATTTCACAATCCGGTTATTCCTCTCGAGAGACGATTACTATAGCAACTGGAATAGGCCATTCAGCCCCTCGAGCCTGACCTGCACCTCAACTCCAATTACCCGCCCTTGCCCCGCATCCCTTGATACCTGACCTAACAAATACTGTCACCCCCGGCCGGGGGATAAATCCCCCCCCCCCCATACGGATGGTGTTCCTGGGGCTTGCGGAGGGAACCAGAGCAAAGGGGGTTTGGGGGGGGGGGGAAGAGAGGAGGAGCCAGGGGGGGGAGGGTTCTGTTTCTCCGTACTAACCTTCATTTGGATGAAGACATTTACCCATTTGGAGGGATTGAAGGTTGGTCTGTGTTGACCTGTGACCTGCGCTGACCTGACGTCTTGCGTTGCTGCAGGTTTCCCGAGGATGTCAACACGTTCTCCGTGGACAGGCAGTTCCTGTGGGGTCGGAGCCTCCTCATCACCCCGGTGCTGGAGCCAGGAGCAGACTCGGTGACTGGCTACTTCCCTAAAGGCCTCTGGTTTGACTTTTACACCGTGAGTAGCCGTCAGCCCGGCCGGCAGACACTCTCCCGCGTACTCTGTGTATCCTGTATTCTGAGCGCAACCGGCTGCCGCGTTTCGCCCACAAAATACACAATCAATCAATCAAAATTACAGTAGATTCTGCGAAGCGCTTTGAGACATCTCAATGCTATGATAAGCCTCTATATCAAATGCATTGATTATTATTATTATTATTGTTATTATTCAGTCTCCAGAGAGTATATGGCGCAGGTTGGCACGAGCCAAGGCTTGTAGGGAGTGGGGGGCACTGCACAATGTGGGTTGGGGTAACTGCTGGGAGTCTAACCAGCTAAAACCGCAGAGCTTGCCATCGAGAGCACTGCCTGGCAAGCTTTCCTGCTGCTTGTCCAGCTAAGACCACCCGACCCATCGGGACTTTGGCTGGCAGGGTTAACAGGAGCCAAGTGGGTTCGAACCCCTGCTCCACGACCGACCGAGCGACAGGTTTTCTCAGGACACCTAGGGATGGGCAGTAAGTGACCAATGGGCTGAGATGGGAGTTAAACGCAGGTTGAGGCCGTGGTTGACTCTCACTGTCACTGATTGTTCTCTCTCCGAAGGGCACGGCTCTCAGCAGCAGTGGGGAGCACAGGAAGCTGGCGGCCCCTCTGGACATCATAAACCTGCACATTAGAGAAGGCAGCATCATTCCCGCACAGGTATCTCACCAACAACACCTCTCAGTGTTAGCCCATTGTCACCGATCGCTTTCCAGGGGTAATAATCCCATCCCTCCATCCACAAACAAACAACAGCTTTCAAAGGGGAATTGGATATATACTTGAAAATAAAAAAATTTGCAAGGCTGTGGAGGGAAAAGAGCGGCAGAGTGGGCCTCGTTGGGTCACTCCTTCAGTTGAAAGCATCGGCACAATCACGATGAGCCGAATGGCCTCCTGTGCTGTAGGATTCTATGATTCTATGAAGAGCTCAGGTTAACGTCTCGAGCGAAGGAATGAAACAGACCGATGGGGAAAGCGAATAAGAAGCTGAGACGATTTGAAGCGTTCATTATAGACACTGGATAAAGCTAACAAGTGGCGGGGAGCACACATGGTGGGGGAACGCTGTACAGGTGACTGGGGGGGTGGGGGTGTTCTCGAGGGCTGAATGGCCTCCTTCTGACACGTGTCTGCCTGTCTCTCTTCCAGGAACCCAACACGACCATCTGGGACTCCAGCAGCAACCCTCTGTACCTGATGGTGGGGCTGACCCCCCAGGGCACTGCGCAAGGAGACATCTTCTGGGACGACGGGGAAAGTTTGGACACCTACGAGAGCGGCAATTACACTTACGTTACGTTTAGTGTTGCTGAGGTAATGCAAGTTAACCCCCTAAACCCGTGTCTCAGCCCCAGGTCTGACAGCTTGCAATCTGTACCTGAATTGGGATCATATGAAAGACTTCAGTCACCTGGTACACCTGGTGTGGAAGTCCTGTAGAGCAGTGGTTAGAGCGCTCGCCTTCCAAGCGAGAGGACCCAGGTTCGATTCCCCGGCCAGGCTGAAACCTTAGGCGAGTTTCCTTACTCCACACCCCTCTGTTAACTAGCAATAAGTAGGAACCTGGTTGTTTGTCGAATGGCCGATCACTTTCCGGAGGCGATAATCCCATATAAAAAAATGTACAGTGCTCCCCCATAACACTATTTAAATAAAATTGATCACCCAATCCACGACTGTTTAGAGGACGCTGCTGTGCACAATTGGCTGCTGTGTTTCACCCACAAAATATAGTCGATTCACTTTACAGTATATTCTGTGCTTTGAGACGTCTCAGCGATCTCACCCTCGTCTCCTTCAAAGCTCGTCTCAAGACCTTCCGCTTTGACAGTACCTTTGGCCACATGCCCCCTACCCTCCAACCCACTTGATCCCAACCCCCAGCTTGGGTGAAAACCCTTGACTATCCACAGCCTTGAGACGTCCTTCCGACAGGAAAGGGGCTGTGTACGTGTAATTTGTTGTTGTTGTTACCTTGTCATGGAGCTTCAGAACTCTTTAAAGAGCTCCTTTTAGAGCTCCATTTGTCTGTTTGTCGCTGGTTCATTCTCTGCGTTGCTCTCCCCCAGAACACATTGACCTCCACAGTGCTGCACCTGAACGTCGAGGGAACCTACCTGGGGGTGGAAACCCTGATGGTGTTTGGGCTCAAACTCCAGCCAGTCAGGGTCACAGTGAACGGCAAGTCCGTTTCCTTCAACTACTCGGCAAACCAGGTAAAGGTATATTCCTGTAGTGGTTAGACCGCTCGCCTCACAAGTGAGAGGACCCAGGTTCGATTCCCGGCCGGGGCAAAATCTTAGCAAGTTTACTTATTCCACATGACTCTTTACCCAGCAGTAAGTAGGAACCCGGTTGTTAGTCGATTGGCGGATCACTTTGTACAAACGGTGCCTGTTTGACCCGCTTTGAGGCACCACTCACCTCTGAAACTTATGGTTTGAAACCTCACATCGCAGGGATTTGAGCTCAGTCTATTGCAGTGCAGGGGGAATGGGGGGGGGGAATAGCGCTCCTTAGTCGAGATGAGATTGAGCTGTGTTAAACATGATTATTTATTGCTGTGGTTGTCAATAATAATTATGGTGACTGGCTCAGATTTGTTTGAAAAGAATATGATGGCATGTGTGTTCGTGTGTGCGCGTGCAATCACTGCGTTTCCTCCTGTCCCCAGGTCCTGACTGTCAATCACCTGGACCTTCTCCTCAGTAAAGAGTTCCACATCTTGTGGCAGTGAGGCCTGGATGGCTGAAGACTTGACCCCTGCCTCAGCGCTCTTTATTCTGCCTGGCTTTCCCTGCTGCGCTGACCTCTCAGAGCTCACTCTGTGTCACCAGAACCGAGGATCCGGAACTTCCTAATGGGGGGGAAATGGTTGGAGCTCACAGCGTGAACGCTGAATCCAATGGGACGGGAAAGGGAAGAGTTAATTGCACGAGACCCACAAGCTTGGGTTGAAATCGGATGTAATGTGGAGTTCTGAGAAGCAAAGCTGTGAAGTGGATTTGAAATATACTCTCTCTGCCTCGTGCTTTCCTCCTGTTACAAAGCTCATGTCCACACCCGAAGACCCTAACGTCAGATGCGCTGAACAAACAATAAGTCAGGAGTCCCCTTAAGCCACCAACAGTTGCTATTAATGTTATTTGGGGTCAGATGGGTGTAAATCCTTCCCGAATGTTTGGAGTAGGTAGAATAAAATAAGTAAAAAGGAATCCTCCCTAACATTTAAAATGAATACAAATGAATTTTAAATAAAAAACATTAAATATTGTTCTGTATTTACCATTCATGTGATGTAGCTGGGTTGATGCTCTCAGCGAAACCAATCTCTGAGGTAAGAGTCGCTGTTTAATGCTGGTCTACAGCAAAAAAAACTAAATGTGAAGTTTACTAAACTTAAATTTACTGTACATTACATCATGGGTTTTTCTCCATAAAATATACAGTCAATTCACTTTACAGTATATTTTGTGAAGCGCTTTGAGACGCTCAAAGACGTGATTAGGCGCTGTATCAAATGCAAGGATTATTAATAATATCATAACACTTCATTGAATATTTTGGTCATTGTCCTTAGTTGGAAGATGTCGATGGTAAGGTTGCTCTCCAGATAGTTTTTACCGTCCGGTTGCCGGTGAGAAATTTTAACGTGGCATTTTTTTCGAGGCGCGGTGAGAACTCGTGCAGTGGGCTGGGACTGGATCAAATCCCTTGTTATTGTCACGATCGCTGTTCTGGCGTCTAACATTGCAGCTGTTCCACCTGCACATTAAAGTAACAATAGTAATGTAATGTAGATAATATCTACCATGATAAGCTGTTCTATCTTGTGCTGAACAGTAGAACCAGAGGTCACGGCCTGCGATTGAAGGGGGGTAAATTCAGAAAAATCTGCGGAAACACTGATTCAGTGAGCGAGTAGTAAACTTATGGAACAGGCTCCCTAGGGAAACAGTGGAAGCAGAAAATGTTCTTTGTTTCAAGAACAAATTAGATAGATTTCTGCTTGAAAATAATATCTGGGGATACAGGATGGTGGAAGGCGAACCAGATGGACTTTAGTCTTCTATCACCAAGCAAATTCTTACATTCTTATAAGAACAGGAGTAGGCCATTCAGCCCCTTGAGCCCATTCTGCCATTCTATAAGATCATGGCTGGTCTATACCTCAACTCCAATTACCTGCCCTTGCCCCATATCCCTTGATACCCTGGCCTAACAAATATATATCCATCTCAGTCTGGAAAATTTGAATCGATCCGGGATCCACAGCCTTTTGGGGGAAAGAGAGGGATGGAGAGTGTTCCAGGTTTCCACTACCCTCATAGGAATGGAGGCAATAGATTGAATAGAATCGAGCTGCACATTGAAGGTCTCTTGGTTTAATGTCCTGGTGGCGCTCAGGAAATAAGTGGCAAAGACCTCAGAAGAGAGAGGTTACGTGGTGTCTGAAGGCCACGACAACAAGGAGACGCTATGAGTCGCTCAAGCGGCTTCTTTTTCCTTTCGGCCATTTTGGTTGCGTCTGGGAGGAGGCAACCCTTGTCGTTGGCCGGAGTTCTTGTGCCGACGAATGGCTGAGAGGCTTGAAAAAGTTGCCGATTTTGGTCTTGCTCAAGTGCTTTATCTTCGACCACTGTCGTTGGATAATCCGATTCCGGATGCACTGCATGAAGGCGTAGTCACCAAAGTTGTGGAACACGTCCTGCCCGGCTTCGGTGTCAAAGAAGGAGACCAGCAAGTCTGCGGCCTTCCTCGCCTCGCTCAGCTTGATCTTCACCTCTTCCTCCTCCTGCGTTTCGTTGATTGCCTCCTCCGCGATCTCCTCCTCCGTTTGCTGCCTGTAGCCCATGTCGTCGAGGTCAGAGCTAAGCCACTCCTCCACATCTCCCAGGGCCACGCCCTTCTCCCCCGCCATCTTGAGGAAGCCCAGGAAGTCAATGGGTTTCAGAGACTGAAACAGGTCGTCCTCCACTGATGCTACAGCTCTGTCCTCCAGCAAAACCTTCCTCCAGGAGTTGGCGAGAGCGCTCGAAGGCATCTCCTTCCAGCTATTGGCGATGTTAAATATGGCGTTATTAATGTTGTACGACCTGTAGTTGGCAAACGTCCTCTCTGTCCTGGTATCAGCCTCTTCATCATCACCTTCGTCAATTGCCAGGCAGGACTCCATCAACTTGCGTTTGTATCGCCTCTTGGTCACTTCAATGACTCCCTGGTCCATGGGCTGGATGAGGCCAGCGGTGTTGGGAGGGAGGAAGATGACACGGATGCGGCCACATTTGCTGGTCAGTTTCTCGTCCGAGGGATGAGCTGGAGTGTTATCCAGGATCAGCAGAGCCCTGACGTCCGGCTCGGACACCGAAGCCTCCCTCTGGAATTTGAGGACAGCTGGCACGAAAACATCGTGGAACCACCGGTGGAAAATGTCAGCCGTAAACCAGGCTGACGCACTCGCATAATAGGTAACGGGCAAGGAACTCATACAGTCCCTCAACACTCGAGACTGCTGCGATTTCTTAACCACGGCCACGGGGATACGGTGGGTACCGTCTGCATTGGCACAGAAGAGAACACTCATTCTTTCCTTGCTCACTCTTCTGCCCACGTTGTGGCCTTCGGATCGACTCGCCCGAGTGTTGGACGGAAGCAGCTTCCAAAAGAGGCCCGACTCCTCCGCGTTGTAGAGCTGACTTTTGGACAGGTTCTCCCTGAAGATGATGCCTTTGAGCTTCTCCTTGAACGGACCGACCGCGCCTATGTCAGTGCTCGTGGCTTCTCCAGTCAACTTGTTGTTGTGCAGGCCGTGGCGTATCTTGAAACGGTGGAGCCACCCGCTCGAAGCGACAAAGTTTTCCTTCTCGAGAATCTGCGCAAAGCGTTTTGCCGCCTGCTGCAATTCAGTGCCCCGAACAGTGACGCCGGCGGCACTTTGCTGTTTGTACCACTTGAACGTGGCGTCCTCGATGTCCTTAAACTTGGCAGGATCCATCCTCGTTCGCTTTCTCACTGTAACGTCTGAATCCTGTTCCTCAGCAAACTTTAAAATCTTTTCCTTGGCGTACTTTATGTCGTACACGGTTGACTTTCCAAGTCCGTACTGCACCATTATTGTCTTGACACTTAGCCCTTCGTTAAACTTCTTCAAGATTTCCAACTTTGTCGCCACGGTGACGGACGTTTTAGGAATGCCGCGGCGGGAGGAACCAGCGCTAGACTTGCTTTCCCTCGGCATTGCCCCGATGCGTTCCACGCCCCCAAGAAAGTGACGTCAGCCACCAAAGCGGACCGACTGCTCGGGGCGCGGCGTAGGCCGGGCCGGACAGGCAGATGGGGGCGAGGCGGGAATCCTACACGGAAACCGCGGGCATCACGACAGCGCGGGCGGACACGGGGTCGGGGTTACGCGGACTGCGGAGAGAGTTTGGTGTCGTCTACGCGCCGGTGGCGGTGAGGGGGATTATTTTGTCTCGCGGAGTTTAAGGGCCGAGTCCGGGCCACTTAGCCGAGGGGGTTTGAGTGGGGGGGGTTTGAGTGGGGGGGGGGGGTTAATAATAACCCCAGCACCTCCGCCACTGGGTGAGGTAATGAGGTGTCTCCCTCGGGGGCCAATTTTTTTTCCTTCGGTCTGGAGTTTCAGCGAAGGAACGACGGCGTTTCCAAAACGGACACGGTCCAGTCATTCCTGGCCAAAGCACCTCCGGCCATTCCTCCGGCAAAAAGCTTCCTCCCCTTCCCACCCCCTCCCCACCCCCTCCCCTCCCCTCCCCACCCCCCCAGAGGGTAACTGCCAGCGTCAGGGGATGGCGGAGGCTTCACTTGGCTCTGGGATGGCCGGTGGGAGCTGCCAACAAAGATGGCGGCGGCGCCGAAGGACAACAACAACAACAACCACCACCACCACCACCACCACAGACTGTGAGTCACCGCCGGCCTTTCGCAGCCCGGAACCGAACCGCGACCGTCTGTTTCGCGCGAGACAAATCGCTTAGGGGGAGGAGGAGGGGGGGGGGGGTGGGGGGGGGAGGGAAGCCGCTGTTTCGTTGCGTTGGTCGAGGCGGCCGGAGTTTTACCCGGAACCTTTGTGCGCGGGGGGAGGACGGGGGGACCAGAGACCCGGGGGAAGGGGAGCGGGGCGGGGCTTTAGGTGCTGCACACAAGCTTCCGGTGGCGGCCGGAAGGAGGTGACGCGTCTCAATGGCGGCGCCGGAGGTCTTTTCTTGAGGTGATTATTTTTTTCTGGGGGTCGGGGTCGGGGAGGGGAAGGGGAGGATGTTGTTGTTGTCGTTTGTTTTCTTTCTTTCCTGCTTTGTTTTTTTTTTTGGCGGCAATTGAAAAAAAAAAGATAAATGACCGAAAGACGGAGGAGAGGGAGCGCGTGAGACCAGGCGATGAGCGGCAGCGCGAGGCTTTATTACCGTACAGCAGCGGAGGGGAGTGCTGTATAAAACCTGCAATTTGTTGTTGTTGTGGGGGCGTTGGGGGCTGTGGGTTGGCGTTGGGGGCTGTGGGGGGCGTTGGGGGCTGTGGGTTGGTGTTGGGGGCTGTGGGTTGGCGTTGGGGGCTGTGGGTTGGTGTTGGGGGCTGTGAGGTGGGTTTGTGTGGGGTGGGGCGTTGGGGGCTGTGGGGCGTTGGGGGCTGTGGGGGCGTTGGGGACTGTGGGGGCGTTGGGGGCTGTGGGGGCGTTGGGGGCTGTGGGTTGGTGTTGGGGGCTGTGGGTTGGCGTTGGGGGCTGTGAGGTGGGTTTGTGGGGGGTGGGTTGGTGTTGTGGGGTGGGGGGGTTTGTTTATAATAATACCGTGTGTGTATGTGCGGGTCGCAGCGCCTCTTCCCTACCCAGGGCTCCCCTAGTTTGGCTGTCTAAAGTGCTTCAAGACGCTGCCCCCGCTTGAAGAGCATAACATAACTGAACGTCTTCTCTCTCTCCTCAGCCTCCCCGAGGCTCTCTCTCAGACTCTCGGAACCCATTGCGCAACTCGGGCGTTGAGTTCACCTCTTCTCCCTCCCTCTTACCCCTTCCCCGGCATCGGACTCTGCCACTGTCAAGCTTTCGTTTCTAACCCCATATTCGTTCCCTGACCAGCAACGCTTTTTTCTGCCTCCGTCACGTTGGTGGCCTCCGTCCATACCTCACAACAAAAGCAGCCGAAACCCTCGTCCACGGCTTCGTCACTTCCCGGCTGAACTGTTCCAATGGCCTCCTCGCTGGTCTCCCCAGTTCCATCGATGCACAAAATTCAACTAATTAAGAACTCCGTCACTCGGGATTCTCACCCACACAAAACTCCGTACCCCCATCAGACCTTGGTCTTCTTTTGTCTAGCAATTCTTATGCTCCTTTTGATGCTTCATCTGAAGGATCTGCTCTCAGTCTGGAACCCGCTGTTCTCATTGTTAATAACCGTGGAAAACCTCGGTTTTCTTTTTTTTCCTCCTTGGCGGAGTTCAAGAACTTTCTACAATTCCGCTCTTCAATTATAAGGCAAAACGATCTCAAAGCTTAGGCTAAGACTCGAGTACAGTTCTGGTTTGAGTTTGTGTTTTTGTGTTTGTGTTTTGCTACCAGGCTGTATTGTTCCCTGCACTCTTTGGAGCAGTAAGGAAACGTGAAGCCTGCAGTCGGTGGTGACAATGAACCGAGCCAAGGCTGTGACAATGCGAAGGCCCAGCAGCGCCAAACCCAGCGGTAAGTCACTGTCACTCCGGCTCGAACTGTGCATCTTTTGTGAACTTTGCTTCTTTAGGTCAAAGAATTGTTTGACAGAAAGGAAAAGAAGATACTGCGTTGCTCCCTTGTCCGTTGATTAAGCAATCACAGAGCAAGTCCAGAGTAAAACTGACTGTCAGTGTGCCTTAATGATTATTTGGGCTTTTTAAATATTTGGGGATAACTATTTTTGTCAATTCTTAGCCAATGTCATTTTATTTGCTGCATTGTGTAATTCTGTCTGAAGGTCACCCGCCGCCTGGGGATTTTATTGCTCTGGGTTCGAAAAATCAGGCATCCGATCCTAAAGCACCGGCAACGCTCCTGAAGCCAGCTCCGACAGGGATACCGTCTGACCGGAAACGCGAGGGGTCCTCAGCTTTACCCTCCAGCTCTGGGCTGTCAAAACGGACCAAAATCTCTCCCACTGCGCCGCTGAGTGCGCTCGGCCGTCTGGTGGAGGCAGCCGCGGCTGAGAAGCGAGCGATATCGCCTTCCATTAAGGAGCCGTCTGTCATTCCTATTGAAGGTAGGTGATTGTGCCAGTGAGATGCGTACACCTGCCTGCATTATATCAGGCTGGGGCATCGGGTGCTTTAACAGTTACAAAGCCACACCCAACTTACACATGGACAACATGGAGCCAGGGCAAGGCAGTGATCCCAATTATTAGAGTGAAATCTGTGGGGCTTTTTCACTAATAAAGTGTTATTGTAATTTCCGTTACAAATTTACATTTATATAGCATCTTTCACATCAGGCAGACGTCCCAAGCCACTTAACAATACTGGTGTGGCGTCCGAGCTGGGAGTGGCAGCTGAGGGGTGGGGGGGGAAGATGACCGAAAATATAGTTAAAGAGGTAGGCCACAGCCTGCTGAGCAGAGGGAGCGGACGGGTTGAAGTGGGTAAGCATGCGCAGGTGAGGCGAGCACACACTACACTGTCAGCGATTCTGTGACCCAGAGCTGCCAGTGATTCCTTGCTCGTTGTGTGGCAGTGCCTCCCGCCTCGCTGCTGGACGAGATCGAGGCGGCGGAGTTGGAAGGGAACGACGACCGCATTGAGGGGCTGCTCTGTGGAGCTGTCAAGCAGCTGAAGCTGAACCGGGTGAAGCCGGACACCAGCCTGTTCCTCAGCCTCATGTACCTGGCCAAGATCAAACCAAACGTCTTCGCCACGGAGGGCGTCATTGAGGTAACTGTCACTGGTTATTCAGAGGAACATGAGAAAGGCTGTTTGTCATTTGAATTGATACCTTGCCGCAGATTCATGCTGTTTCTCGCCTCCTGTTGAAGGACTCGTGGGGTCCTGTAGTGGTTAGAGCACTGGCCTCGCGAGTGATGACCCGGGTTCGATTCCTGGGCTGGGCGAAACCTTAGGCAAGTTACTCCACACGCCTCTGTTTACCTGGCAGTAACTCGGAACCCGGTTGTTAGTCGATTAACGGATCACTTTCCGGGGGTAATAATCCCTCCATAAAAAATTGAGGGATTATTCAATCCTCAGTCCACGACTGTTTATGGGACACTGCTGTGTGCTATTGGCTGCCGTGTTTCGCCCACAAAATATACAGTCAATTCATTTTACAGTATATTCTGTGAAGCACGTTCTGATGTCTCAATGATATCATAAGGCATTATACCAAATGCAAGGATTATTATTATTATTTTCTCCGCCCCCTTGGGTACCAGGCCCTGTGCAGTCTGCTTCGACGAGACGCCTCCATTAACTTCAAAGCCAAGGGCAACAGCCTGGTGTCGGTGCTCGCCTGTAACCTCCTCATGGCTGCCTACGAGGAAGATGAGAACTGGCCGGAAATCTTTGTCAAGGTGAGCGAGTTCGAGAGTGGTCAAATGGGGAGATTGGGGCTGGAGTTGATGGGAGATTTGAGCTGCAATTGTAGCGCTCTGGGCTGCTACCCCGTGTGAGAGGAACTTCACAGAATAAACTATAAAGTAAATCAAATTCTTCTTGTAATGAAAGATTAAGTGAGTAGGAACCCGGTTGTTAGTCGATTGGCAGATCGCTTTTCCAGGGTTATTAAGCCCTTCAAAAACATTTTCAAGTAATAATACTTTGGTCACTCAATCTACGACTGTTTGTGGAACACTGCTGTGCGCAATCGGTTGTCGCGTTTTGCCCACAAAATACAGTCAATTCACTTTACAATATATTCTGTGAAGCACATTGAGACTTCTTGAAGACTTGACAAGGCGCTGTATCAAATCCAAGAATTATTATGATTATTATCATGAATGCCAATTGCTGTAATGCAGCAGGGTAGCTGGTTGCCTGAGGTTCCTAGACACGGTTGACTCCTGTGCAGTTTCTAATCTGTTTCACGGGAGGAAATGATTGGCGCAGGACTGTTCTTCCCAAACGCTGTCTCCCGCCAGCATAGCCATGGAGGTGAGAGCACTGACCTGACCCAGCCGCGGGCTTCTCACCCCCGCCCTCGCCCTCTTTTTCAGGTCTACATCGAAGACTCACTGGGCGAGCGCATCTGGGTGGACAGCCCCCAGTGCAAGACCTTCGTGGACAACATTCAGACAGCGTTTGGCACCAAAATGCCCCCGAAGAGCATGTTGCTGCCGGCGGACAGCGGGAAGATGGGCGGAGACCTGAGCTCCGGTAAGGAAGGACAGAACTTCATAATCGTCTTCATAGGGTCAAAAAGAATGGGAGCTCCTCGGTGACAGGAGATGGGAAAAGCCAACTTGTGACTTATGTACTGTCATACAATCCTACAGCTCAGAAGAAGGCCGTTCGGCCCACCGTACCTGTGCTGGCTCTTTGAAAAGGTTACCCAATTAGTCCCACTCTTTACCCAGAGTCTTGTAAATAGCCTTTTCGAGTGTTTTTGATATATTGGCTTCACAAAGCTGCTCAAAGTGGTGCTGTTTCTGGGGTACTGAGTGCCTTTACCTTCTGAGAGGTCTTCAGTGGGATGGATGTTGAGCCCAGACTGATGTGAGTGTCTTGGCTGCAGGTGGGAGTCCACACCCGTCCATGGCCGACGACGACGACAACACGGCTGAGTTGCTGATCGCGGAGGAGAAGCAAAGTCCTGACGTGGACCTGGGCCAGGTGATGCCTAGGTGAGAGCCTTGCCCGAGAAGGGTGGTGGGGGGGGCATGGTGGAAGGGGTGGTGAACGTAAACTCTTTGAGATTCGCAGCTTCTCTGTGTTACAAGGCGCAGTGCTCAGTGTGGGTGCATTCAAGAAGAACGACTCGTTCCGCTCCCCAGTACTTGTGTGAGGGAAGGGAATGTATGGGTCATGTCCCTCCACAGGGATTTGTGATTCCGATGTTTAACTTGCTGACTCTTCCCCCTGGACCTGTCTTAGAGTGGGAAAAGTTGACGGTGGGAGGGAGGAAGTGGAGTATTAGATACTCTGAGTTTTAATTCTGTGGCTCTGTTCACCACACACACACACACACACACACACACACACACACACACACACAGGTACGAGGACCTGGCTGAGAGTGTGGAGGACTATGTGATTGACGTGCTCCGGGACCAGCTGAATCGTCGGCAGCCGATGGACAACGTGTCCAGGAACCTGCTGCGGCTGCTGACGGCCACGTGTGGGTGTAAGGAGGTGCGGCTGATGGCTGTCCAGCGGCTAGAGATGTGGCTCCAGAACCCAAAGGTGAGTGGTCGCTGCTTGGCCAGAGGTCAGGGGTTAGCAGGCGGTGGGAAGAGGAATGGCTGTGTTGACATCTCATTGTGTGCGCGTGTGTGTGGTTTTGCATGTATTTCGCTTTCCAGGGGTAATAATCCCCCCCACTCTCCAAAAAATAATTTGGTCACGCAATCCACGACTGTTTGTGGGACACTGCTGTGCGCAATCGGCTGTCATGTTTTAACCACAAAATACAGTCAATTCACTTTACAATATATTGTGTGAAGCGCTTTGAGACGTATCACAGACGTGATAAGGTGGTTTATCAATTGCAAGTATTATTGTTTGTGTGCGTAGTTTTGCCTGCATTTGTATTGTGAGTGGACAGGTGTAACTGTACGCGTGTGTGATTTTGCCTGTATTGAATTGTGTGTGTGTGATTTTGCCAATGTGTGAGCAGCTGTATGTGTAACGGTTATTCCTCCCTGCTTGACAGCTGACCCGTCCGGCCCAGGACTTGCTGATGTCAGTCTGCACCAACTGTAGCTCGCACGGGACAGAGGACATGGAGGTCATGTCCAGCCTCATCAAAATCCGACTGAAGCCCAAAGTGCTGCTGAACCATTACATGCTGTGCATCAAGTGAGTTACAGTCAGTCTGTCTGTCCTCTAAGCTGCACTGAGTCGCAAGATGTGAACGTTGCATAGAAAGATCTCCCCTTGATTTCTGTTTTCATATAGAAACTACAACAGATTTAAAAGCTTATGCTCAGAGATTTGTGTGTGTGTGTCTGTCTGTGTGTGTGTGTGTGTGTGTGAGAAGGGGGCAGGGGGAGGATGTTGAGAGAGGTAAGACGGTCTCCGTGGGAGTTGAACTGGCTTTGAAGACAGACACTTGTCAAAGTAAATATCCAGGTAGATCCACAGTATTGGCTCATCGACGTGAGTTGGAAGTGTAGATATATCCATAAGTCAGAAAAGACCTGGTATTTATGGGGTCATAAAATGGAGGCTGTTTGGCCCATTGTGTCCACGCCATCTCTTTCTCTCTCTCTCTCTCGCTCTCTCTCTCTCTCTCTCATTCAGTCCCACTCTCTTGCCCTTTCCCTGTTCCGACGTTTTTAAGGTTTCTTTCTCAAATTGCTGTGGGGATATTGCCCTTACAGGTGAACGTTTTCTGTACGAGTGCATGTAACTACAGGACGGTTGTGTTTATCCCTGGCTCCCTCCCCCTGTGTTAAACTTCCCCACGTTGCCTTTTCAGAGAATTATTGAACGCTCACCGGGATAACCTGGGAACGCTGGTAAAATTTGTCATCTTCAACGAGCTGTCAAACGCTCGGAATCCCAACAACATGCAGGTCCTGTACACAGTGCTGCAGCACAGCTCAGAGCTGGCTCCGAAGGTAACATCAGCCACAACAACTTGCATTAATGCAGCGCCTTTCACGAGGGTAGCGTCTCAGAGCGCTTAACAGCAGCGTGGCTTGACGCCGAGCCGGAAAGGGAAGGGAGGTGTCCGAAGGCACAGTCAAAGAGGAAAGTCTTCAGGTGCGATCTGAAGAAGGGCAAAGAGGGGACGAGGCAGAGGGATTGAGGCAGGGAGTCCCAGAGATTACGGATGTCTCAAAGCGCTTCATAGGATATACTGTAAAGTGAATTCACTGTGTATTTCGTGGGTATATTTTGTGCGTATCCTCAGCTTCCAGGTTTTTATTGCAGCCTTTACGGCTCTTGGCTGTTCAAAAGCAGCTAGTTTTACTGTGAAAGATCAATCAGTCAATTCATGTATTGCAAATCACTTTGTCTCACAAACAGCCATGGAGTGAGTGAGCGATTTTATTTGGGGAATTGACACTGATCTGTCTATTGTATTCTCTCCTGTCAGTACCTGGCCATGGTGTTCCAGGACCTGCTGACAAACAAGGATGATTACCTGCGTGCCTCGCGGGCCCTGCTCCGGGAGATCATCAAACAAACCAAACATGAGATCAATTTCCCGTCCTTCTGCTTGGGGCTGATGCAGGAGCGGAAGGAGCAGTCGTACCTAGAGATGGAATTTAAGGTGAGTGGCTTTCCACCCGCTCCTGAGTCTGGCCGGACACATCCAGGCCAGCTGATTTCAGAAACTCTGGAACACTCTTCCTGTATTCCCTCCGCCTTGCCTCTTCCTTCCCCATCTTCAGGTTGCACCTGAAGACCTTCCTTTTCGACCGTACCTATGGTCACCTCCCCCCTCCCTCTCCCCCTGGCTCGGGGTCAAGCTCCGCCACTGTCAAGCGCTCTGGGACTCTACCCCATGTGAAGGGCGTTATATAAATGCAGGTTGTTGTGTTTAAAAAAAGGCTCAGTGAGAGAACCCTCACATCTCAGTGAAGGTGACGCTGTCTCTGTATTGGGTCCCTCCTGATTCCCCTCCTGCTCTGCTTGCTCTGTAGGAACGTTTTGTGATCCAGGTGACGGACCTGCTCACCCTGTCCATGATGCTGGGAATCACAGCTCAAGTGAAGGAAGCTGGACTCGCCTGGGACAAGGGCGAGAAAAAGAGTGAGTTCTGCACTGAGATTGCAGGAGGGTGTAATAAAGAGACTGCAGTAAGTGTAGGCAATTAGTGTTATTATGGTAATTTGGTGCCTTCCAAAATTTGGTCACTCCTTCCACGACTGTATGTGGGACACTGCTGTGCACAATTGGCTGGCGCTTTTTGCCCACAAAATACACGGTCAATTCATTTTACAATATATTCTGTGAAGCGCTTTGAGACATCTCAAAAACGTGATAAGGTGCTGTGTCAAATGCAAGGATTATTATTAGTATTATTTGCTTATTACCTCAAAATTCAACAAGCAGTAGTTGCTTGTACGTGCAAGGTTATTGTGATGGAATCATACTCTTTGTATTTTGATATCGGCCTCTCACGTCTCAAAGTGCTTCACAGGTAATTGCGACGTGCAAGGTTATTGAATAGGTTGTTGACCTGATGGCTGTGTGTGGGCAAACTGGTTGAGAGTGTAGTCTTCGCTTGACAGCAATTACCTGTGAAGCACTTAGAGACGTGAGAGGCCGATATCAAAATACAAAGAGTATGATTCCATCATGTTTCCTTTGGATTTAAATATGTTGATCTGCAGCTTTGTAATTAGCAGCTTCAGTGCAAACTGGGTTTTAATCTGCAAGATGCTCTGTTCAGTTGAAGGCTGCTGGAGTGTGACAAGCCGTTTAATTATAGTTTTCTCTTTCCCACCCTGTACAGACCTGGAGGGCCTGCGTGCCTTTCAAACTCAGATTGCCACGATTCAGAGAGACACTGTGTGGTGGCTTCACACTGTGGTCCCGTCCGTCTGCAAACTGAACCCCAAAGATTACATCCACTGGTACGTAGGATTCTTCCATTATTATTATGATTATTATTGCTTCAATAACAGCCACAACAACAACAACATTTACACAGCGCCTTTCATGTTGGGAGGACATCCCAAGGCGCTGGATAGTCAAGGATTTGCATCCGAGCTGGGGGCTGGGATCAGGAGGGGTGAAGGGCAGGGAGAGTGGGGTTAGTAGGTTAGTAGCCCAACGACAAGGACGGAGTTACAAAGGAAATCTCACAACCGTCGCAGTTTGTAGAGTATTAAACCTTCGACAATTTTTTAAAAAGCGAGTTGCGTTATTTGTCCATCAAAGGGACAGTGTCGGCTGCTTTTCCTTGTTGGTTGTCTTCCTGTTTGTTGCTTGTGACGAGGGAACCTCATTTAGAGAAAACAGACCATACCTTGGGAGGTGGAAAACTATCATGTCTGTCGTTTTCCTTTGTTGCAGTCTGCACAAGGTGCTCTTCACTGAACAGCCCGAGACCTACTACAAGTGGGATAACTGGCCTCCGGAGAGCGACCGAAAGTAAGGCCATGATGGATTGTAGCCACAGTGCTGTTGAGAGCCAGTGTCTTCATCTTGTTCTGTTGAATAATTTCTGATCTATACTTATAATCATAATAATCCATGTGTTTGATAGAGCACCTTATCACGTTGTTGAGATGTCTCAAAGTGCTTCACGGAATATACTCTAATGTGGAGTGACTGTGTACTTGAGTTTAAAGTCCGAGCTGACGCTCCAGTTCAGTGCTTTGCTGTCAAAAATGCCGTCCTTCAGATCTGACGTTAAACCAAGGTTCTGTTTGTGTTCAGGTGGCATTAAGAATCACACCACACTGTAGTCCTGTCTGACAATCCTGAAGATTAAATGGTCGCTTGCTTAATGGCTGTTTTGTGTAGGGACATTGCTGTTGCACAAAGTTGCCACCACGTCTTTTCCTGCAAGTGGCTTGGCGTGGCCCAGGATACTATAGTCTTTTCTGGTTGTATCTGTCCCCCTCTCATTTTCTCTTCCCTTCAGTTTCTTCCTCAGGCTGTGCTCCGAGGTGCCTCTGCTCGAGGACACGCTGATGCGTATTCTGGTCATCGGGCTGTCGCGAGACTTATCCCTGGGGCCCGCCGACGCCATGGAGCTGGCCGACCACCTGGTGAAGCGAGCCGCCTCGGTCCAGGCTGACGGTAAGCCACCGTGTGCCCGTGGTGTAAGCGGCGACGCTGGAACACAGGGGAGCGCAGCTAGGACGCTGGCACGAGGGTTCAAATCCCTGACAGTCCAGCGCCTTGGGACAGACTCCTGACGTGAAAGGCACTGTGTAAATGTCACTTGCGGCATTGTCAGCAAACACAGTCCCCTGTGCAGTGGAGGGGACACATCCGTGGGTCCACTGTGGGACTGGAGTGACAATAATCCTTGCGTTTGATACAGCGCCTTTCATGTCGGGAGGATGTCTCAAAGCGCTTCACGGGATTCACAGTAATAATAATCATTGTTGCATTTGATATAGAGTCTTATCATGTCGTTGAGACGTCTCAAAGCGCTTCACAGAATATATTGTAGAAGTGTAGTGATTGTATTTTGTGGGCAAAACACGGCAGCCAATTGCGCACAGCAGTTACACTGTTATAGTTTTACTGTAAAATGTAGTGACTGTTTTGTATGAGAATAGCGCTTGTTTGAGCCTCAGTGACCCGAGCACACGTGACTGCAGCTACCGCCATTGCTTCTCTTTCAGACCTGGAAGTCCTTCGGGTGGAGAGGATTCAGCTGATCGACGCGGTGCTGAATCTGTGCACCTATCATCACCCTGAGAACATCCAGCTCCCACCGGGGTAAGCTCCCGACAGAGCCCCACTCACTCGCACGACCACCTCGACTTAAATGGGGGAGGGAAGCAAAGCTGTGAGAGTTCTGACATGGAGATGATTCAGGAAGCTATCAGCTGCCCCTCTTCCCTTTCATGCCTTTCTCGTCGGATGGATGTCCCAGCATCTTGTGATGTCCTTCTGACACGAAAAATGCACCCCCCACCCGCCCCCCACCATCCACCCTCTCTGCCACTGAGCAGCGTGTCTGCGTGTGGCCTATGGGTGAGGGCAGGATTGGCGGAGTCACCCACGCAGCTTGCTGCCACTCACCGTCTCACAAAGAGCAGCACCATGGCCGAGCGATTGACTTCTCCATGAAGCTGTGAAGAACGGCCACTTGGTTGAGGTGGCGGTGGGCCGGGGAGGGGGCTACACAGCGAGAGGCTGAACGGTCGAGGAAGAGAAGGAAGGAGGGAGGGAGAGAGGGATGAAATTGGACACTGCAAATAATTCATCTCTTGTGCTCCCAGGTACCAGCCCCCGGCTCTGGCCATTTCCTCCCTCTACTGGAAGGCCTGGCTGCTCTTGCTGGTTGTAACTGCCTTCAACCCACAAAACATTGGTGAGTCTCGAGGGGTTAACGTCTCCCTGAGTGTTTTTGTTGGCTTTTTTTTGTTGGCTGCCGCATTTCGCCCACAGTTCACTTTACAGTCTATTCTGTGAAGCACTTTGAGACGTCTGGAAGACGTGAAAAACGCTATATCAAATGCAAGGATTATTATTATATTATTTTTATTTGTTCAGGAGCCAGTGTTGATGTTGTGCTCAGTTAAACTCCTTCAAGTTGTGTAAGACAACAGTTTGATGCGTTTTGAAGAAAGATAAGACGTGTAATAATAATAATCCTTGCATCTGATACAGCGCCTTATCACGTCGGTCAGACATCTCTCAAAGCCCTTCACAGAACATACTGTAAAGTGGAGTCACTGTATTTTGGGTGCGAAAAGCGGTTTTGATATCACCTATATTGATGCAATATGAGAGAGCTTCACAGGGGTTAATGTCACGTGTGGTGACCGTTTGTCGTGGGCAAGTGCGCAGCCATTCTGGTGACTGATTCCCCGACTTCAAAGAAATAGTTCTTTCACCGTCACAAAAAATATGCAGATTCTTGTACAAACTTATAAAAAGTGAGATGTTTAAGAGTTTGTGTGGTTAGAAACCTCTCTGGTTGCTGTTGACAGGGCTGGCTGCATGGGAAGGGTACCCCACCCTGAAGATGCTGATGGAGATGGTGATGACCAAGTGAGTGGAATGATTAGGTATCTCACTAAAGGCTGGGGCGGGACGGGGGGGGTGGGTGGGGGTAAACGACTCAGCGACAGGAATCGAACCTGGGTCCTTTTGCTTAGCAAGACTGGCTCGCTAACCATCTAGGCTACAGGGTTCCACAAAGTAATTAAAATTGCATTTGCGCGACCTTTCAGCAACTTCTCTTACCCGCAATGCACGGTGACGGACGAGGAGACGCGAGGCGAGATGATCAGCCGGGAGCTGCAGATGTCGCAGAGGGAGAAGCAGGAGATCTTGGCCTTCGAGAGCCACCTTGCAGCCGCTTCCACCAAACAGACCATCACTGAAAGCAACAGCCTGCTGCTGTCCCAGCTCACCAGCCTCGACCCACAGTGAGTGCCGCAGCTCCCCGCTTACACACCTGAAACTCGCTGGGAAACGGTGCTGCCCGCTACGAGATACTTTAAACAGAAACCCTTGGTGAGGCGGGTGGGGTGGGTGGGTGGCGGAGGGAAGGTTATGCTACAGGAGAACAGAGCTTCGGTTCAAAGCTGTGAAGGTTACATAAGGACCGACACCCGGATTTATTTCTTGACACAGAGAGGAATGTGTAGCTGAAACAGGTTGAGGCAATCGCATGTCCGCTAGCTTAAGATCAGGAGCTCGCTCACCTGGTGACATCTCAGCTGGGGTTTGGAGACTGATGCTGCACAGATGAGGAGTTGTGTGTGTGTCTGTGTGAGTGAGGGAATGAGTCAGTGTGTATGTTTGGTGGTGGTTGGAGGTGAAGGCTGTGACGATCGATGTCGGTTGGACTGCAATGTGGGAAGAGGGGTAGTCTGTACGTCTGTGGTTTCTCACCCTCTTTCCCCCCCGCTTTGGCAGGGGAGTCCCACGCCGGCCGCCCTCACAGGTCCTCGAGCAGCTCAAGAGCCTGAACCAGTCGGCACGACTCGGCCATTTACTGTGCCGCAGCCGACACCCCGACTTCCTACTCAACATCATCCAGAGACAGGTGAGTGCTGCTTACTCCCCACTCCATTACCCATCGCCACCGCTCGGCTGGCTCTGGCCTCCTGTTCGTCCCCTGTGCCCTCCCTTCCGCTATCGGCAGCTGTGCTTTCAGCCACTACGCCCCGAAACTCTGTAACTCAATCCCTCCGTCTTGCACTCTCCCTCCCCATCTTCAGGTCATGCCTGAAGACCCTCCTCTTCAACCGTGCCTTCGGTCACTTCCTCCCCCCCACCTCCACCCCAGCTTGGCATTGTGCTCCGTCACTGTCAAGCGCTTTGGGGACGCTGCCCGCGTGAAGAGTGCTGTGTAAATGCAAATTGTTGCCGGGGCCCAAGCCGTAATGTAACTGATGTCGACCTGTGATTGTCCATGCTTAACCTTCTGTATGTGCTCGCGTCCCTCTCCTCTCCAGGCCTCGTCCCAGTCGATGCCCTGGCTGGCCGACCTGGTCCAGTCCAGCGAGGGGTCCTTGGACGTGCTGCCTGTCCAGTGCCTGTGCGAGTTCCTGCTGCACGACGCGGCCGATGAGGCAGCCTCGACGGAGGAGGACGAGGAGGGGGAGAGCAAGGAACAGCGCGCAAAGAAGCGGCAGGTGAGCGCGAGAATCGGCTCTACACAGAGCAGAGGAATCCGACCTTCAGAACCCCAAGAGGGCCAGTTGAGGGGCAGAATCTGGAAGAGAGAGATGATTCAATTCCTTGAAGACTGACCACCTTTGTGGCAGTTGCACAGAACCAGCCTCAGCCTGGCTCAGCAGGTCGCACTCTCGCCTCAGGGTCAGAAGCTTACGGGTTCAAGCCCCCATCTCGGGTTCAACCTGAGCTCGTGCTTCTTTGGCGGCGCTCCACCGTCAGAGGTGCGACCTTCAGATGAGATGTTCAAACCAAGGTTTTGTGGTACCATTGGGGGAAAAAAGTGGGGGCTTGGGGAGGGGGGACCCCGGGTTGTTCACTTCAGAGCGGCTTTTTTACGTGCAGGGTATTTGCTGCACGTAAATTGCCTACCGTGTTTGCCTCCAATAATAAAGCCGCGGCACTTGACAAGTTACCATCGTGAGACTTTATTAAGGTGCTTTATAGTTCTTTGGTCTTCACCTGGTTTCGCTCCCTTTCCTGAGACTTAGAGGCAACAGAAGCAGCGGCAGTTGCTTGGCCGCCTGCAGGACCTGCTGTTGGGCTCGCGAGCGGACGAACAGACCACCTGTGAGGTCCTCGACTACTTTCTGCGGCGTCTCAGCTCTCCCCAGGTGGCCTCCCGCGTCCTGGCCATGAAGGTGAGGAGGAGACAGTGGGGTTTGTCTGCTGTGTTTCAGCCACAAAATACAGTCAAACCACTTTATAGTATATATCCTGTGAAACCCTTTGAGACGTCTCAACGACGTGATATGGCACTGTATCAAATGTAAGGATTATTATTATTATTGTTATTATTTTATCTCGGAAAGAGATGAGTCCATCTTTCCCATCCGTGGCGTTTCGCTGGTGGGAGGAGTGGGGGTCACTCTTGGAAACTTTTGGAAAGATGTCAACTGCATAGGGGGGAGATTACTTACAGATGAAACTTGTGGTTCAGTTTGTGGCTGTTTGTGAGGACTTCGCTGTGCACAAATTGGCTGCCACATTCGCTTCCAAAACACAGAGTCACTGCACTTTACAGTGAATCAATCCTGTGAAACACTTTGAGACTTTCTTCCCCCCCACAACGCGAAAGACGCTCTGTCGAGTGTAAGGAAATAATAATAATAACTCATGTATAATAATTTGGTCACTTCAATCCACCAGTTTGTGGGACACTGCTGTGCGCGATTGGCTGGTGCGTTTCGCCCACAAAATATACAGTCTATACGCTTTACAGTGTATTCTGTAAAGCGCTGAAACATGATTATGGTACTATATCAAACGCAAGGATTATTATTATTACTATGATGACGGTGCTGCTTAGAGCAACCAGAGGCGTCTGGCCTGACTGACCTATCCCTGCTGCTGGCTTAGGGCTTGTCTCTGGTGCTGACTGAGTCGGAGGTCAGCCTGCGGGAGGCACAGGAGCGGGAACGGGAGCAGATGATGGAGGAGGACTCGAGTGACGGGGAGCCGCTGCCTGGGTACCAGTGGCTGCTGCGGGACCTGCCCAAACTACCTCTCTTCACCAGTGTGAGCAGCATGACCTCGCTGGCACTGCAGCAGGTCAGAGGGAGACACTGAGCTGAGCTCCAGGCCGGCCTCCACGCTTTCTATTTCCTCCGTAAACTCGGCGCCGATCATCGATTCACTGTTTGCTCTCTTGCCCTCCACCACTTGTAGGTTCTCTCGCTAGCTCAGTTTAGCGCCTGTAGTTCCCCTCCCCACAGCTCGATGTCGTGCTCCGCCACTGCCAAGCATGAGGGGCCCTATGTAAATGCAATTTGTTGTTGTTTAGCTGCCGCCTTTGCCTCCAAAACAATATTCGCTTTGTTTCGACTTAATATGTAAACTATTTCGAGGCTCTGCTTTTTACTGTGAAAAGCGCTGAGTAAGGATGTGTTATTCATAGGAACAGGAGGAGGTCATTCAGCCCCTCGAGCCTGTTTCACCATTCTATTAGATCACGGCTGATCCGTACCTCAACTCCGATTTAGCCGTCTTTGCTCCCTCCGTACCCTGACCTAACAAACATCTATCCAGCTCAGTCTTAGAAAAAATTGAGATTAATTCCCAGGTTGGGAAAGAGGCAGAGCTGAGAGTTTGTGACTGTGGTTGGTTTGCGAGACGTTGTAAGTGTTTGGCCTGTGTGAGCGGGTTGCAGGTGACTGAGGCTTTACTCAGAGGGTTTCTGTTTAACTCTTCTCTTTTCCCTTTACTTTGTCCCTCAGGCCATTCACGTAGAGACAGACCCTCAGACCATCAGCGCCTACGTGATTTACCTGTCCCAGCACGCACCGGTGGAGGAACAGGCACAGCACAATGACCTGGCGCTGGTAAGCGAGGCCAGAAACATGGCAATAACAGACTGGTGAACATCTTATTTACCCGCCATCTCGCCCGCAAATAACTGTTTAGGTGTCGTCCCTCGCATGAGACGTTAAACAGAATGCCCTTCTGCCTGTTCAGGTGGACATTAAGAGATCCCACAGCGCTATCTGAAAATAGAAGGAGTTTCTCTGTCTCTCTAGGTGTCCTGGCCAACAATCCTCCTAAATAAAATTGGTCGCTCATTCCACAACTGTTTGTGGGACACTGCTGTGCGCAATTGGATGCCGTGTTTCGCCCACAAAATGCACAGTAACCTCACTTTACAGTATATTCTGTGAAGCGCTTTGAGACGTGTCGACGATGTGATAAGGCGCTGTATCAAATGCCAGGTTTCTAACCAGGGTTTCTGATTCTCCAGGACGTTGCCCGGTTGATTGTGGAACGCTCCACCATTATGACCCACCTCTTCTCCAAGCACTCGTACAGGCTGGAGTCTGAGGCAGTGTTGGTGGCTCTCATAGCCATCTTCTCCCGCTACGTAAAGAGGATGCGGAAAACCAAGGAGGACGAGGAGGTGTACAGCTGGGTGAGAGACGACGATCCCATCGGCGCAGGAGCGGGTGTGGGTGAGAGTGTCTGGGAGTGGGGGGAGAGAGGGGGAGTGCGTTAAGGAGAAGGAGAGAAAGCGAGGCATTTAATGCCCCCCCCCCCACTTATAATCTGCAACTCACTGAGCCAGCTTTGCTAGTCTAAAACCATCACAGTGAAGCGGTGTGCAATTGAGCATAATTTCTGAATGCGAGCGGCGATATGAGAACGAGCAGTTAATGGGTTACTCTGGGTGTGTGTACGCAGTGTTCTCCTGTTCTGTACGTGACCTGTGGTCTGTTTTGCTTGATATTAACAGTGTTTTCATTGATGATCATTTGTTTTCTCCCGTCGCCCGCAGTCTGAATCTCAGGACCAGGTCTTCCTTCGTTGGACGACAGGAGAGACTGCCACCATGCACATCCTGGTGGTCCACGCCATGGTCATTCTCCTGACGCTCGGACCCCCTCAGGGTAAGTGTCCAGCATGCGTGTGGGAGTGTGTTCAGTTTGTGCATGTATTCAAAGACTTATTACGGAGCTTAAACTCATAAGCTTTAGACCCTAAAACTTTTAAATCGCTTTTCCAGGGGTAAAAATCCCTTAAGAAAAAAATAATAATTTGGTCACTCAATCCACGACTGTTTGCGGGACACTGCTGTGCGCAATTGGCTGCCCCATTTCGCCCACAAAGTATACAGTCAATTCACTTTACAGTATATTCTGTGAAGCGCTTTGAGACGTCTAGAAGATGTGATAAGACGTGATGTCAAATGCAAGGATTATTGTTAAAACTACAGGGTGTTCACAAAGTCCTGTTACCGCCGTGTTTTGTTTTCACACAGTGCACTGACCAACAACTGAAACACATGGAAGAATGATAATAATTGTATTTAGAAGTTACTTAATTGTATTCAGTACAAGGGTTTAACTGTACTTAGACGTCCAGAGGATCGGTGTGTGAGCGCCATCATTTTCATGACAGATAATGATATGTCGCCATGTTCAGTGCCGCATCCTCCGTAACATGGAGAGAGGGATGGACGAAGAAGATACTGGCAGCAGACATGGTTACACCTGGCTCATCTGCAACAGAAAATAAAATTTCACTGCAAGAAATAAAAGCGTGTACAGGGGTTAACAGGACTTTGCAACACTCTGTAGAAGTGCTGAGCCAAGCTGACAGCTGACGTCAGTAACTCAGCGTGTAGATGTCTACGAGTCCATGTCTCTCCCTGTCTCTGTCTCCCATTATCTTGTACTTTGGAGTCCTGTAGCTCAGTGGTTAGAGCACTCGCTTTGCAAGCGAGAGACCTGAGTTCAATTCCAGGCAGAGGGCGAAACCTTGGGCAAGTTTCCTTACTCCACACAGAGCCTAATAATAATCCCTCCAAAACCAAAAACAATAATAAATTGGTCATTTTCAATCTACGACTGTTTGTGGGACATTGTTGTGCGCAATTGGCTGCCGCGTTCGCCCACAAATATACAGTCAATTCACTTTACAGTTTGTTCTGTGAAGCGCTTTGGGACGTCCTCCCGACGTGAAAAGCGCTATATCAAATGCAAGGATTATATTATTACTTTGGTACCTTGCGGGGCCTGAGTTGAGTTGTTGCTGTACAATGTGTATCTATGATGTGTGAGTGATTATCCCCTCCCCCCCGCAGGCGAGAGCGACTTCCATCACCTCCTCGACGTCTGGTTCCCGGATAAAAAGCCGCTTCCCACAGCGTTCCTGGTCGACACCTCCGAAGAAGCCCTGCTGCTCCCCGACTGGCTGAAGCTCCGCATGATCCGCTCGGAAGTCTCTCGGCTGGTGGATGCTGGTGAGGATCGCTGGCCGGACGATGGCGCGGTGAATTGAGGCAATGAAGGGAATCGGAAGAGAGGTGGCGCGTTAGGAACATAGGAACTGGAGGAGGCCATTCAGCCCCTCGAGACTATTCCGCCATTCTATAAGATCACGGCTGATTTGTACCTCAACTCCAATTACCTGCCTCTTGCCCCGTATCCCTTGATGCCCTGACCTAACGAAAGTAAAATACTGCGATGCAGTTTAATGATCTGCAAATGATCAATTGGCTGCCGCGTTTCACCCACAAAATATCCAGTCAATCCACTTTGCAGTGCTTCCTGTGAAACGCTTTGAGGCATCCCAACTATATGATAAGTTGGAACTACATGAAATGCAAGGATTATTATCGTTATATACATTGAACTATAGATATTTAGGGCATAGGAGATGGCCATTTGGGGGCCCACAGTGTCTGTGCTGGGTATTTTAAGATGGTGTGAGTAAGCTGCAGTTGGAATACTGTACTTCATCCAGCTCTGGGCTCCCTATAACAGGGAGGACATCAGGGCAATTGTAAACCTACTGTAAATGGCTATAAATACCACTTTGGATGGCCTCAAAACCACATAGGTTTCTCCCCTTCAGTCTGGCTGCCGGCAGTAATCGTTACTGCCATCAGGGGGAGCCCATGTCCTTTCTAATGCTGGTGGCAGTGACCGCTTGATGGGAGGTTGAGAACTGACTGGAATGGTCAACTGCCGTTGTCGACAAGCGGCAGCAGTTTACAGGCAGTGATTGCGAATGAGACGTTCTGTTGGCGTTGTGAACCAGGAGGGAAGCACGAGTGCGAACAGCAGCAAAAACGTGAGGTTAAATTATTGCATCAGTCACCACGCATGACTGATGATAATAATGTGGTCACTCAATCCACGACTGTTTGTGGGACACTACGGTGCACAATTGGCTGCCGCGTTTTGCCCATAAAGCACGCAGTCACTCCACTTTACAGTATATTCTGTGAAGCGCTTTGAGGCGACGATATGATAAGGCGCTATATCAAATGCAAGGATTTGTATTATTATTATTAAACAGTGCATAGGTAACAAATTGACCTTTCCATCTGCTTTCACCGAGGAGCTCCCAATAGTCTTAACCCCATTATTAAGGAGCGTAGTTTAGATTGTAATGTCTCTATGCTCTCTTTTTCTCTCTCTCTCTCTGTAAATGGAACACAAGCCCAGGTTGTGCTGAGTGCACTGGCCGCCTGATAATCTGGTGCAAATGCTTTTGTGATGAATTGGCAGGAACCCTGTGTGTGGGCGGTTAATCCCTCAGTGTGATTGTCATTGTGTCAATGAGACCGGGCACTGGGGCAGCCTCTGGTGGCCAAAACAGGAAACAAACTGAACAAAACAATCCCTGTACGGTCCATTACTTGCATTATTGGGTTCCCGGGGACACTTGTTTCACTAAATATTTTACTCTTGCCGACTATTAGGGTACTACTCTGTGGCGTGCCTCCCAAGTGTGTGTTCTCCATGTTAGCATGGACTGATTCTTTAAGTGTCAGAGGTTGTATGATAAACAGGTACTGGATTGTACCTGAGCCCAGATCTTGGCAATCAACTTCCATCCAGTATCATTGGATGATGATGATGATAATAATAATTTACATAATGCCTTATCACGTCGTCGAGACGTCTCAAAGCGTTTCATAGGACATACTGTAAAGTGGATTGGACTGTATTTTGTGGGCGAAACGTGGCAACCAATTTGCGCACAGCAATGTCCCACAGTCATAGAATGAGTGACTGATTTTATTTGGGGGATAGTTGGCCAGGACACCGGGTGGGTGGAGAAGAGAGAGAGAAACTCCCTTCTCTTTTTGGATCGTACAATAGAAATCTTTAACGTTCCATCTGAACAAGCAGATGGGACCTCAGTTTAACTCTCATCCAATGATATCAGGAGCAGATTCCCACCATCCCCACACACTTCATGGGGCACCAAGGCCGATCATAGCATCTTTAGGTGTTACCCTGGCTACCAGCTAACTCCATACCCACTGCAAATTGAATGTGTTCGGCTGATCTAGCTCATTTAATAATAATAATACTCCTTGCTTTTGACATAGTGCTTTATTACGTCGTTGAGACGTCTCAAAGTGCTTCACAGGATATACTAAGTGGAGTGACTGTGTTTTGTGGGCGAAACATGGCAGTCGATCGCACGCAGCAGTGTCCCACAAATAAGTCATCTGATCCCTGTGTTAGATCACAGCCTTGTCACCACACCTAGGTGGTCCATTGTTCCAAATGTAGCTGCCCGACCCTTCCTGATAATATTGGTGATGGTACAGGGCAGTGAGCTGGAATGGAAGTAATCCGTGTGCTTGGCTCCGAGAGAGCCTGAGTGAGTGGGTGAGTGGACAGGTGCCGTCTGTTCTGTCCAGAACACAAGGGGACTCTAACTAAACCTTACACTCTTCCCTTTCCCTCCTCTCTCTCTCTCTCTGCAGCCCTGCAGGACCTGGAGCCCCAGCAGCTGATCCTGTTTGTCCAGTCCTTCGGCATTCCCGTCTCCAGCATGAGCAAGCTCCTGCAGTACCTGGACCAGGCCGTGTCCCACGATCCCCAGACCCTCGAACAGAACATCATGGACAAAAGTACGTTCGCGTTTGCGAACCCTCCCCCGCCCCCAGACCCCAGAGACCGCTCGAGAGGGAGGGCTGGGTTACAGGTGCACGAGCCCCCGAATTGGCTGCAAGTCAATTTTGGGGATTGCGTATTACAGTACCCAAATTAACAAGGAACCACATGGGCTTTAGGATCCCATCCCGGGCCATCTGCCACGCACAGCGTCGTGATTAAATTAGACGCTGCTCCTGCTAGCGAGGGTGTGTGGGAGTGGGATTGTCGCAATAAGCAAGGCCGGGCAGGGGAGCAGGTGGCTGCAGCGCGTCTAATAATGGTCGCTAATTCAAATGGAAAGATGGGTTGCTTCGGGAGGATGCCCCACGACCGTTCCTCTCTCTCTCGCGTATCAGCACGGGAAGGTTAGATCCTGCTCAACACACGCCTCTTTGTTCCTTTTTTATTTGTTCATCTACAACAATAATGATAATAATCTTAGCATTCAATATGGCTTAATTACAGTGCTGTGGGGAACACTACTGTCAGAGATTCCATCCTGCAGGTGAGACGTTAAACTGAGGTCTCATCTGCGCCTGTTCAGGTGGGTATTAAAGATCCCACAGCAGCTATTATGATGGTGATGACAATAATAATATTCCTTGCATTTGATATAGCGCCTTATCACTTTGTTGAGACGCCTCAAAGCGCTTTACAGAATGTAAATTCTGTGTGTTTGTGGGAATAACACGTCAGCCATAATATCGGCTGTAAATCAGAAAAGAGGGGCCTAACCGGGCGACTCTTGTCAGGGAGCGGCACAGTCACGCTCATTGCTGTGAGGGTTCTACGTTCTGGTGTCGCTTTCTTTCCCGGCAGATTACATGGCTCACCTGGTGGAAGTGCAGCACGAACGCGGAGCCACAGGCGGTCACACCTTCCACTCGCTGCTCACCGCGTCCCTGCCCCCACACAGAGGTGAGCAAAAGGCCCTGGTTACCCCCAAGGTCGCACCCCGCGAGGATTCGTTCGGGTAGCTGCCGAGAACCTCTCGCCTCTTGTGAAGGGAATGCAGAACAAGTGGGCAAGTGTTTGTTCGGGAGCCAGTGTTTGCGCCGCGCTCAATTCAACGCCTTTGAGTTGGGCAAAGCAACAGTTTGAAAAAGACAGGATGTGTTTAAAATGATAAAGGGATTCAATAGGATAGATACAGAGAAGCTATTTCCTCTGGTGTGGTGGGAGGAATCCAGAGCAAGGAGGCATCATCTTCAAGTTAAAGTTAGAGCTCAGTCATTTAGGAGTGAAATCAGGAAGCGCTTTTTCATGCACAAAGGCGCTGTGCTCCTTACGTGAAGTATTAAGGTCATTGTCATCTTGAAGCTTTCAAAATTTTGGCTTCAGCTCATTTCAACAACAACAAATGACATTTACACGGCACCTTTCATGTTGGGGGGGACGTCCCAAGGTGCTGGACAGTCAAGGATTTGGGCCGGAGCTGGGGGTTGGGATCAGGAGGGGTGGAGGGCAGGGAGGGTGGGGGTAGGTGGGTGACTGAAGGTGCGGTCGAAGAGGAGTGTGTTGAGGCAGGCCTTGAAGGAGGCGAGGGAGGGAGTTTAGGAAATGGGAGGCTCGTGGGTTTGCTGAGTGACTGGGAGTGACGGGGTCGGGTGATTGATGTGATGCGTTCACCACTGTCTGTTCTCAGAAAATACAGATCTCAACAGGCAGAGCCTGAGCCACGAGACACCGCAGTGTCCGGTGAGGATCAGGAGACAATCACAGAGCCCGGTCATCGGCCCTGACGCTGATCTGGCTGCAGTGTTCCTTCAGGTACAAGGGCTAGACATTCGCTGCTTATCACACAGCAACATCGAAGAGACGTAACGGAATTACTTGTCGGACACTCAGCCGATGATGAAAGACTGCGCAACTGGCAGCTGCGTCTCGCCCACAAAATACACAGTCAATCCCCACCTTACAATGTAGCCTGTGAAGAGCTTTGAGACGTCTCAACGACATGAAAAGGCTCTGTATCAAATGTGGGGATTATTATTAAAATGGCTGCGCAGCATATCGATAAAGTCGCTCCACGTGCGGGTGATTACCGTGAATCTTCGGGATGTTAATAGGCGCTGTATTGAAAGCTGAAATGAGCCGTGATTAACCTTTTCTTCCTCTCCCTCCTCCCTCGCCAGCTGTTCCCCATGAACCCTGACCCCAGGTGGAAAAGCTCGAACGTGCGTAGCGTCTCTCTGGCCCTGCAGCACGGGCTGGCAGAAGAGCTGAGCCGAACCCGCCGGGGGAGCGAGGAGACTCCGGGCTTGGCGGGGCGAGCACTCCAGGCCCTCGCCGCGCTGCTCAACTCCCCGCACGGCGGCACCTTCGTCCTCTCCATGCACCGGCACTACACCATCTCCTGCCCTTTACTGAGGCAGCTACACCAGCATCAGGTACTGTACCGAGCGGGGACAGACTGGGTTTGGACCGGGATTTACACGAGACGCCACTGGATTGTTTTGGTTGTGAACTACAAGAAATTACATTTCCACAGTGCCCTTCGCGTCGGGAGGACGTCCCAAGGCGTTGGACAGTTGAGGATCCGCACCCGAGCTGGGGATTGGAATCACAGAGGGGTGGAGGGCAGGGCGGATGGGGGTGGGAGGGTGACGTCAGGCAGGCGCGGTCGAAGAGGAGGGTCTTGAGACTTGCCCTGAAGGAGGCGAGGGAGGGGGTGAAACGGGTCATGTTTGATCGAGTTCCAAAGGGTGGGATCAGAAAGCCTGAACGCGAAGGTGGGGCGAGCTGGAGCCCACTGAGCAGAGGGAGCGGACAGATCAGTATGGTGGAGGACCGCTCCTGTCTTTATGTGTAGCGGAGTGGGGGTGGGAGGAAGGGAGTGTGTGTGAGCACCCAGGGGGAGGGGTGGTCTCTGTGTCAGCGTGTCCCATAGATAAATCATGCCATGTGTGTGTGTGTGACTGTGTTTACAGAGAGTCTCTCAGCAGGAGCCTGCCATCGCCTCACTGTTTTACAAGGTGGTGATGCAGATGAGAACCTGGCTCGAAAACCCGGCCGTGGTGGAGGGGCCTTTGCGGGCACTGCTCAAATCCTTCGCTGCCCAATATTCCTTGAAGCACCGCACGAGCGACGGTAAGGCAGCCTCGCTGCGTGAGAGGGGTTCTGTAGTGTAGTGGTTAACGTGCTCGCCTCTCTAGCGAGAGGATCTGGGTTCGATTCCCGGGCGGGGTGAAACCTTAGGCAAGTTTCCTTAGTCCACACACACACCCCTCTGTTTACCCAGCAGTAAGTAGGAACCTGGTTGTCAGTCGATTGGTGGATCGCTTTCTGAGGGAATAATCCCTCTTCAAAAAAAAATTGGTCACTCAATCCATGGCTGTTACACACTGCTCTGCGCAATTGGCTGTTGCTTTTCACCCACAAAATATACAATCGATCCACAATACAATATATTCAGTGAAAGGCTTTGAGACATCTGAATGACGTGAAAAGGCGCCATATCAAATGCAAGGCTTATTATTATACTGTAACAGCCTCGCTGTATGTTAGGATTTCACTGGGCCTCTCGTGACGAGCTACTTTGTGCCCTTCAGTGCGAGCGATCGCCTGCCACCTGGTGGAAGGCCTGACCTATCGTCAGGATCAGGAGGTGATCGACTCGGGGGTACAGGCCATGGTGGCCGCTCTGAGAGCTGGAGAGAAATGCAATGTGGAGCCAGAGCTGATGGTCAGAGGTAAATGGTCCTGCAGGCTCGCTCGCTCACTCACTCGCTTACTCACTCACTCACGCCTCCCCTCAATCCCACCCCCAAAAACACACACACGCATGCCACCCCTTCATCCTCCGACATGCCTTCCTCCTCCACACACATAACACACTCTCACGCAAAGGTACACGTCTTCCCTCCGTCCCCACACTCGCAGACACGCACACACTTCCTACTCGCGCATACATACTCTTATCTTTCTCTCAGACACACGCTGCACACACACAATGATTCCCCATGTGACTGATTTCCCCGATTATAACTGCAACTCTCTGCATATTGCATGTTGCTGAGCTAACTGGTGATCTCTGTTGGCTTTATCCTGCGTGGTGACCGAGCCTAACGTCAGCGTCTCTCTCTTCTCCGCCCATCCCCCACCCCGGGCTGACAGTGCTGCGGGGCCTGATCGAGGTCCGCTCTCCCTACCTGGAGGAGCTCCTGACGCTGGTTCTTACGGCCGGCGGGAATACGGGTGTGAAGCCAGTTGGGAGCGGTCCTGTCTCCCTGATAAACAGCCTCCTGCAGCAGGAGGCAGAGGAGCCGGCTGTGAAAATGGAGGTGGATAACAACAGGTAACTGAATGGGAGGCTAGTGGGTAGTGTTACTGTATGTGTGAGGAGGGGTCCAGTCTAATAAAAGTAGCTGTTCACTTCATGGCTGTTTTTTGAGTGGGGGGCGTTGCTATGTGCGGGTTTCTCCGTTCACCGCGTCGCTACTCTGGACAGTAAACGCTGCAAACCTCTTTGAGACGTTCGCCTGGCTGGAAAGACACTGTGTCAAATGCAAAGGTTATTATTATATATTAAAAGAAAATCATATGATGCTCACTCGATCCACACAAAATAAATAATAATTTGGTCACTTCAATCCACGACTGTTTGTGGGACGCTGCTATGTGCAATTGGCTGTCGCATTTCACCCACAAAATACACAGTCAATTCACTTTAAGGTATATTCTGTGAAGCGCTTTGAGACGTCTCAACGATGTGATAAGGCGCTATATCAAATGCTAGGATTATTATTATTACAATGAACTAGCAGAGCATACAATACAACCAATTCACTTTACAGTATATTTTGTGAAGCGCTTTGAGATGTCTTGATAAGGCGTTTTATCAAATTCAAGGATTATTATTATATCTATGTGTATAAATCCTTCGGATGACTCCTGGCTACCGAAGCTCCCTCCTCTCACTTTCCCTGTCTCTTGCTCTTGTGTTCACAGTATGGAGGGGCTGAGGCCAGTCTCTGCTACGGGGCTGCTTATTGATTGGTTCGAACTGCTGGACCCTGAGGTTATCTCCTGCTGTCCTGACCAGCAGCAGCGGCTTCTGTTTGCCTGGAACAAGGTAAAAACTAATGAGGTTCCATGGAGCCCTAGCAAACATCACATCAAGCTCCGAGGAGCTGAGAGCCGTGGCTGATCAGCTAAATTAACGTCCGTGGAGTCATTAACCCTGGGGTTGTTGCTGCTTCAGCTGTGTGCATTAATTCCACTCCCACCACCCCACCAGCTGGGGACCTTGTACTAATCAAACCCAGGGATGTCAGCGCTAGGAAAGAAAGGGAAGCGTTTCCTCTTGTTAAAACCATTGTTAGCATCAAGTTTCCCATCTCTTGTTTCTTAGTCGATTGGCGGATGGCTTTTATGGTGGTAATACTCCCTCGAAAAAATAATAATAATTTATGGTCGCTCGATCCATGGCTGTTTGTGGGATATTGCTGTGCCCAATTGCCTGCTGCGTTTCGCCCACAAAATACACAGTCACTCCACTTTACAATATACTCTGTGAAGCGCTTTGAGACGTCTCAATCATGTGATAAGCCCAGGCAAACCTGTGTGTGATAGAGTGTACGTGTGATAGAGTGTGCGCGCGAGGGTCAGTGCTGAGTGTGTGACAAACCTTAGTTACTGGTGATCTCTGTTTTGTGTCCAGGCCACGGCTCAGCCTGGATCTCAGGTAGCCTCGTTCCGCCCCTACCTGCTGGCTGTCCTCACCCACCAGACCACGTGGAGCACCTTACATCGCTGCATCAGCACCGTGCTGAGCAAACACGGGGAGCTCAGGTGAGCAGCCACACAGAGCACCTCACCTGGGGCACAGGTAACGTGACGCTGTGCCCCCAGTGACTGCTCTTACTGCAGTAATATCAGCACGGTTCCCCCCCTCACACCATCACGCAGGCTCAGTGGCTCTCGTTGGTTGGTTGGTGAGATGGAGGCTTTACTCACTATCTCAGTGAACCTGCCGATCATTCAGAGCCCTCTATCTTTCAGGGACCTGACTTCAATGAAAATGGCGAGGGAATTCGGGTGGGATCCATTTGTTCGGTCTATCTCTCCCTCCCTATTCTGTCTTTATTTTGTACCATTCAGAGATGGGTGGTTGTTGGATACCATCATCAGGTGTTAATGCTTGACCATGAGAGTAGGCTGTTGATGTCTCTGTTCTCTGTAGGTTTGACCCCACGGCATGCCTGGATTTCCTCTGGGCGTGTGTGCACATCCCAAAGATCTGGCAAGGGCGTGATCAGAAGACTCCGCAGGTAGGGATGTGCATAATCCCTGATGGAAGTAATTTTGCGGCAGTGCCCGGGATAAAGCTTTGTGGATCACAAGGAATAACTGCTGGGCGCCGTTCAACAGTGTCTAGTTTAAGTTCTGTTCCTGTGCTGATCAAATGGATCTGGCAATCATGATGTCAGTCAGATCAGTCCAGTGCCTCCACACTATAGGGAAAGGGATTTCAAGAGGGATGAGATCGAATGGGCCAAAGGTCCTTCTCCATCCGCACCTCTCTTGTGATATTAATAAATTGGTCACTTCAATCCACGACTGTTTGTGGGACGCTGCTGCGCGCAATTGGCTGCCGCTTTGCGCCCACAAAATATTTACAGTCCGTTCACTTTACAGTATATTCTGCGAAGCGCTTTTGAGACGTCTCGAAGACGTGATAAGGTGCTATATCAAATGCAAGGATGATTATTATTATTACCGTTATCTTCTGATTCGGAGAGGTTTACAATCCGAGAGTTGTTGGGACGTGGAACCTTGGCCCTGCCAACAAAGGTGGCGGAGGCAGAGTCCATTGCGGGTTTCGAGTGGGAAGTAGACCTGGTGTTTCTCAAAGACAGAGGTGTGGTGGGGTGTGGGGATAAAGCAACGGAAGGGGACACCTTTGCTCTGAGTGCAGACTCGATGGGCTGAATGGCCTCCTCCTGCGCTGCCAACTTCCGTGGGGCTCCAGTCGTAACCTGCTGTTGACCTTGCAGAAGCGCACGGAGGAGTACGTGCTGCAGTTGAAGAAGGCGGAGCTGATCAGCCTGGTGGATCTCGTGCTCCCGGAGTCGGAGATGCGGAGTCGCAACGGGACCCCCGCCAGGAAGAGTCCGGACGAGGCCCCGAGCTCCCTGATCCAATCACGGCTCCCCCTGCTGCTGAGCTGCTGCCACGGAAACATGGACAATGTCAAGAAAGTCACCGAGTATTTGATCGGTTGCATCAAGCAGTGGGGTGACAGGTGAGGGTGAAAGCGGGGTTCAGTGTAAAGTCCCCAGAAACCCCCCCCCCCTATCCCCACCCACCCCCAGATTACACCGCTGGGGCAGTTCTCACACTTTCCCCTCTCTCTGTGTGGGAATATCGGAGAAATTTCACCCAAAAAATACGCAGTCAATTCACTTTACAGTATATCCTGTGAAGTGCCTTGAGGCATCTCCACGCCGTGTATAAGGCGCTATATCAAACGAAAGGATTATTATAAATTGTCAGCAGTGACATAAGCCAAAGACATGAATTGTCTAATCTACGAAGCAAGATGTTTTAATTAGGGGCTAAATTATCGATATCCGCCCGATAAACTGGGGGCTTGAGAGCAAAGGCGTATTGATTGAAACATCGCGTTTAACCTGCAATCGAATTGACCGTGAACCTGCCTTTATTTTCACAATGATGTCTCAAGGCGCTGTGAGTTAGTTTAAAATAAAAGAAAAACAATAACTTTACCAAGGATTATTGCAGCCGAGTGTCGCAAAAGTGTTGGAGCGAGCATATTAATTTTCTCTTAAATACATTGATGCCAAGTAGTCTAACCAAGGTTTTATATTAATTTAACATAACTTCCCTGCTCTACTCCTCTGGACATAAAACCAAGGACTCTTATTGGCGTTCATTATGGCCTTGGGAGTTGTGCGGCTGTGATTTGCTGAATACTTTAACATGTTCTCTCTCTCTCTCGGTCATGGGGCTGCCCTGATTTTAGCAGTGCCATGAGCAAGTGCTGCCACAATTTGCTACTCCAGATCTACTTCCAGGTGCCAGAAATCATCCGCCACACCAACCTGCCCGACTCCGTCCTCAGCACTGAGGGTACGGGCGATGGAAGCACCTGCAAGGTACAATGCAATTTCGGGACGTCCGTTCGTGTTTAGATCTGTACTGGCTCTGTGGGTGCGTATATCAGTGCAGTACTGTCTTGTGCTGTCTCTGTGTGTGTGCGCGTATGTGTGTGTGTGTTTCTTGGTGCTGTAGCCGTTGACCTGTGTGCTAACCATGAGCTGCATACTTTGCTGGGTTATTTCTTGGAAGACTTCACACACATCTCTCTCTCTCCCCCCCAACCCCCCCACTCTCTCTCTGCCTGTTGTAGCTGGACGCCCTGGTGCATCGGTTGCTGATGTTACTTGCCGACACTGACGACTTCAAGATGTCAGACAACCGCATGTCAGACGCCAACATGGCGTGCAGGAAGCTGGCTGTGGCCCATCCCGTGCTGCTGCTCAGGTACCCACGCACCTTGTGCCGCTCAGAGGATTTGCTTCCTCTTAAGCGCTCCGGGACGCTACCCTGTGTGAGGGGAGCTATATAAATGGAAGGTGTTGTTCCAGTATGCGTGTGTGTGTGTGAGAGAGGACGGAGGTGATCTTGTGATTGACCTGTTGCAGGCACTTGCCGATGATCGCTGCCCTGCTGCACGGACGGGTTCACCTGAACTTCCAGGAGTTCAGACAGCAGGGCCACCTGAGCTTCTTCACACACGTGATGGGGATACTGGAGCTGCTGCAGCCGTTCCTGTTCCAGAACGAGCACCAGGGGGCGCTGCAGGACTGCCTGCTCTCCTTCATGCTGCTCCTGCAGGTGAGGTCGGGGCGGGGCAGGGCGGGGTGGGGGGTTGGCCAGCCTGGGGTGAACCTCACTGTGTTAAAGATTATCCACTGAAAGCGGCCAGGAAGGGGGAAAACGTCGAGAGAGTGAGCCTTTGGTAAAAAGAAATGGCTCTGAAGGATCATTTCCCGTCGTGGATCCTGTGGCTTAGTGGTTTTGGGCACTCGCCGCGCAAGCAACAGGACCCGGGTTCGATTCCCAGGCGAGTCAAAACCTTAGGCAAGTTTTCTTACTCCATACACCCTCCTCTATTTACCTAGCAGTAAGTAGGAACTCGGCTGTTAGCTGAGTGGTGGATCGCTTTTCGGGGGTAATAATCCTCCCCCCCCCCCCCTTCAAAAAAGTGACTACGCTACTGTGAAGCGCTCCGGGCTCTACCCTGTGTGAAGGCAGCTATATAAATGCAAGTTGTATTGCTGGCTGCACAAGCGGGAACGGGATGGGGGTGTTGTTCAGTGGAAAATCCCACAGTGCTGCTCAAACATAGCAAGCTCTCTCTTAACTTTGCGAGATTTGCCAAAGGATTCGTAATTGGGGAACGGACTGCAAACTACGCCCTCGCTACACCTTACGGTTAAAATTCCTGTGAAGTGTCGGGCGTGAAAAGGCGACGTGTCAAATTCAAGGCTTGTTGTTATTTTGATGGCCGCTGGCCCTTAACCCCTGCTCTTTTTGTTTTTCTTTTGTTTTATATATATATATTTATATATATATTAAAAAAAACACAGAATTACGGCAAATATTCTCGGCAGCTTGCCTCCTTTATCAACAAGTGCGTGCAGTTCATTCACAAATTCATCACCTTCAACACAGCGGCTGCCATCCCGTTCCTCCAGAAGCATTCGGATATTCTCCAGTGAGTGCCCGAAACTTCCCCTTTCATTTCTTGTCAGTCACTACCTTCCTGAGGGGAGGGAGTGGTGGGGGTGGAGGGAGTATGAGTCAGGGAGTACGTACAGGGTGTCCACAAAGTCCTGTTACCCACCCCGACCCCCGTTACAAAGCAGCCATCACACACACACACACCGAGCCTCTGGACCCCTGAATACAGTCAAACACTTGCACTGAATACAAGTAAGTACATGTTTCAGTTGTTGGTCAGTGCCTGGGTGCCACAGGACTTTGTGGACAGTCTATAGTATTAAAGGGGAAGGGGAATGTCAATGAGATCAGTTGCTGTGCCCCTCCTGGGGTGCAAATGTCACAGAGAGACTATGAGGGAAAGGGAGGAATTTATCTTTAAAAGTGTGCATTATATACAGTGAATTCCTCATAACTCATTGCTTTATGGGGAAAAGGGGCTCAGCGATGAGTTGTCAGGAGCAGTGAGTTACATAAGTAAATGTGGCCGGGATATTGACGACTTTAAGCGGTAATGATAAGCTGAAGCCAGGTCGAGATATCAGCAGTTTACTGTAGATGTAAACCTTGACACTTTTCTCATCAAAATAAACGTTTCTTTCCACCGATCACTTAGTTATCTGTCGAGGGAATACTCGGACATGGCGCTGCTGAAATCCCTGCTGGCGGGACTGACAGTCCCCACCAGGAGCAGGCTGGTGGAGGAGAATGCGGAGGATGAAGACGGAGGTCAGTATCTTTCTCCCTCTCCCCCCACCCCCACCCCCCTCTCGGCTGCTTTTGGTTATTATCTGAAACCAGAAATCTATGGCATTTGAGTGTCAGCCAGCAGTGTTACATGTGTCTGAAATGCAAGCGTTTCCATTTCCAGGGACTGGAATAATGTCTTCCACTCCCGTTCAGGCACAGATTAAACCGCAGTAAACCACATTGTGCAGTCCTGTAGCATAGTGGCTATCGGGCTCACCTCGCAAGCGAGAGGACCCGGGTTTGATTCCCGGGCGGGGCGAAATCTTAGGCAAGTTTCCTCACTCCACACAACTCTGTTTACCTAGCAGAAAGTAGGAACCCTGTTGTTAGTTGATTGGCGGGGGTAATAATCCCTTACAAAGGTAGTTTTAAAAAAAAATCCAGTCACGTCATGACTTTTTGTGGGACATTTGTGTGAAATTGGCTGCCGCATTTCGCCCCCAAAATACAGTCAATTCACTTTGAGACGTCTCAACAACATGATAAGGCGCTATATCAAATGCAAGCATTATTATTAATCCCACACCCTTTGATGCATGATATGGATGGGACGTTAAACCGAGGGAAGCTCCGTCTGTACCCGCTGTGCGCGAAATGGCTGCCACGTTTACTCAGAAATGCTCAGTCACTGCAGTAAAAAAAANCTCACAAGCATCATTCTGATTTAACACAAACTGGAAGGAATGAAGCTTCTTAGCTCAGAACGCTCTGCGGATGTCCTTGGCAGTCACACTTGTGGTTTGGCTTCCTTCAAAAGGAAATACTTTGTCTGATATTTTGGGACACAGTGTTGACCATTTTTGGTTCAAGTAGGATGTGGAATGTCCTCCCGGGAGTTTGAAAAGGAATACGTCAAAGAGAGCCAGTTACTGGAGTGTGGGTGAAGGGCAAGCACATGGGACTGAAAGGATTGCTCTTGAAGGAGCTGGCACAGACACGATGAACCGAATGGTCTCTCTGTTTGCTGTAAATTTCTATGGTTTTTATGGTGAAATATTTATAGCATCCAAGCTGAGTCACAACTTTGCAATTTGTGTTTTTTTAAAAAAAATACTTAAGAATCATATTTAGCTTTAAACATTGGAAAAAGTATCGTGTCCGCAGACACTTCACATGTCAAACCACGGTGCGGGGCCTGAATAAAGTGACATTCTAGCCGTTCACAGACACAGGAACATAGGAACAGGAGTTGGCCAATCAGCCCCTTGAGCCTGTTCTGCTATTCTATAAGATCATGGCTGATCTGTACCTCAACTTCCAGTTACCCGCCTTTGCTCCATATCCCTGGATACCCTGACCTAACAAATATCTGTCCACTTCAGTGTTGGAAATTTGAATGGATCATTCACGCTGCTGAAGTAGGTCAAGGACCTCGAATGGAAGTGTGCCATTTTACATTTTTTTTTGATGGTGGCGGGACGGTTTTCAGTGGTGGGAGGGGTGTGTGTGGGACTGTCCCGGGACAGCTACCGTTAGTAATGAGGGGGGAGTGGGCGGAATCCGCATCTACAACCCTCCCCCCCCCAAGTTCTGATCGCAGTTTGTCTCTTGGCAGAGGAAGAAACTGGCTCTCTTCCGCTGGTCAGTTTCTCAACCACCACCCCGCTGACAGCAGCCGATGTGGCCCCCTATCTGAGGAAGATCACGAAGGGTCGAGCTCTGGAAGGTAACGACCCCATCTCACAACAACAACAACTTAACATTCACATTAAGCACTGCCTTTCACGTCGGGAGGATGTCCCAAGGCGCTGGGCAATCTGGACCCGAGCAGGGGGTTGGGATCAGGAGGGGCTAGAGGACAGGGAGGGTGAGAGTTGGAGGGTGACCAAAGGCGCGGTCGAAGAGGAGGGTCTCGAGAAAGGCTTTGAAGGAGGCAAGGGAGAAAGGAGAAGGGACTGTGGAATGGAGTTCCAGAGGGTGGGGGCAGAGAAGCTGAAAGCCTGATTGTTGATGGTGGGATGGGTGGGAACATGGAGCGCTGAGCAAGAGCTTTTAACTGTACTCTTTGGCCACCTTTCCTCCCCACCCTCCTCAGCTGCTCCCACTCAGCTCCTATTAACCCTGCAAGCCAGAGCCCTAACGGGTAGGGTAATTGGACAACCAGTGAGTAAGCTTGCCAGACAGTGCTATCAATGGCAAGCTGCTTAGACTTCCAGCAGTTATCCCAACGCAAACTCTGGAGTCCCCAAGCCTTGGCTCTTGCCAACCTATGCGTAATACTTTCCGGAATTAGGTTAACACGATGCGGCCCTCCAGGGAGAGAGAGCGCATTCCATTCCAACAATCTATCTCTGGGATTTCCATGTGTAGGTGGGATGCATGGAATTCTCAGCTCGGTTTGATGATGAGTTTCTGCATGTATCAGACACCCGACTGGCCAAAAAAAAAGCTTGGGCTCCCAGTCAGCTATGCAAAGAGCTTTGAGCCTTTTTTTGTTGTAATAGATGCTGTGTACTTGTAACTTGTTGTTACCTCTAGACCCTTTCTCTATCTCTCTCTCCCACTCTGTCTCTCTCTCTCTCTCTGCCTATCTGTGTGTGTGTCTGTCTCTCTCTCTGTCTCTGTCTGTCTCTCTCTCTGGGCAATGACGGCTGATTCAAACCTCCTGAATTTCTCTCTCTCTCTCTGTTACAGACACGCTGGAAGTTCTGAGTGACATTGACGAGATGTCAAGGCGTCGAGTTGAAGTTCTCTCGTTCTTTGTTGTAAGTAGGGCAAAGCTAAGGTCTCGTCCCAGCCGACCCTCTGAGTGACGGTCTGTTCCTTGACACGTGCTCAGAGCAAGTGTTCACGCTGGGCTGAGCCAAGTGATTAGCAGCAGCGATGATTAAATGACCTTACATCAGGGGGGTGTTCAATGGCAAATTCTTGTGAGTTATGTGTATGATCCCTGATTTGTGCTGTATTCAATCCAAGACTGTTTGTGGACACACTGCTGTGCGCAATTGGCTGTCGCTTTACACTTTGCAGTGTATCTTGTGAAGCGCTTTGAGACGTCTCGAAGACATGATAAGGCGCTATGTCAAATGCAAAGATTATTATTATTTATTGTTATGTTTTCCACCTTTGATGGACATTGTTTTCAATGGGCAAGCTGTGGGTTTTAGCTGGTTAGACTCCAGCAGTTAAAGTGGGTCGACTGTATTTTGCGGGCAAAATGCACAAAATATACACTCAATCTCTGCTGCTCCTTTAAGTGGTTTTGAGGAGAGCATTACGGGTGGGCTACCTCGGGGGTCCCTTCACCCACCACCCTCTGCCGAGCTGGGTATCCCCTGTGTTGGGGGAGCCGAGAGTTGCTTATCCAAGGCCCGGCTCCAGCCTCAAAGCGCCTCACTGGGGGAGGGAGGGTTTAATTAGAAATTAAGTGAATGTTACACAGTCAAATGCAGCAGCTAATCTAATCTGCAGCAGCGATGCCCCACAGACAGCAAATGAAGCAAATGGCCAGTGAGTTTGAATGGGGGGAAGGGGTGTACTTGAATGAAGGAGAGGAATATAAGACATGAAAAAGACTCACAAGTTCCTTCGGGTGGGGAGAGGGGGGAAAGGGCAGAGGCTAAATGGCTGGTTTCTGATTGGGGTTCTTGTTCTTGTTATTGACAGAATGACCTGCAGCGGCTGATGAGTTCGGTGGAGGAGCTCACACGGAACCTGGCCTTTGCCCTGGCAATGCGGAGTATCCAGAACGACCCTCGGTAGGGCTGGGTCCGGGCAGGGGCAGGAGGTGGCTCATTCGCTGTGTGTCTAAAGCAGGATTGCCTAAATGAGAGCTGCGGGGGACTGGCTTCCAAATTGACCCTGAGTTGGAAGAATTTTCCGCTGTCCCACCCCGTCTTACCCTTTAAGGCAAAGTGGTGCGTCTCACAAGGCTGGGACTAGGTGGAATTTTGGTGCTCTGTAACCTCTGAGTCACGAAGCTGTGCGCGAGCCTGGTGATGGATGGCACAGTCTGGGATTGTGTGAATCTCTGGTCTCTTTCCTACGTTAGGAGACAGGAGGAAGTTCACATTCCCACCTTATTATGTGGTGTGTGTGTCTGTGTATGTAATATATATATTAGGTGTTTCTCTCTGCCCACCTCACTCTCCTGCTTTGTTTTGTTGCCACAGCATCGCTACCGACTTCCTGCCCACGTTCATGTACTGTCTGGGCTGCGGGAACTACGACGTGGTTCAGACAGCCCTGAAGAACCTTCCGGACTACACGCTGCTCTGCCAAGGTAACATTGACGCCTGCCGCTGTCTCTCTGTTACGCTTCATCTTCCCGAGAACACTGTGTGTGTGGCATTTCTCTGTCACGCCGGCCACTTTCTACCCCGTGTGTTGATCTGCCTCCGCGACCAGTGTTTAGAGCACTCGCCTCGCAAGCGAGGGGACCCGGGTTCGATTCCCAGGCAGGGCAAAACCTTAGGCAAGTTTCCTTATTCAACACACTGCTAGGTAAACAAAAGTAAGTAGGAACCCAGTTGAGTCGATTGGTGGATTGCTTTCCGGAGGTAATAATCCCTTCCAAAAAAAATAATAATAATGTGATCACTCAACCCACGACAGTTTGTGGGACACTGCTGTGCACAATTGGCTGCTGTGTTTTGCCCACAAAATTTACAGTCAATGCAATTTACAGTATATATTGTGAAGTGTTTGAGACGTCTCAATGACGTGATGAGGTGCTATATCAAATGCAAGAATTATTATTGCGATCAACACTAGAGTCCTGATTCCCCCCATCCACCCCCTCTTACCTCTTATAGTCAATTCACTTTACAGTATATTCTGTGAAGCGCTTTGGGACGTCTAAAAGACGTGAAAAGTGCTATATCAAATGCAAGGATTATTATTATTATTATTACCTCCTCTGTGTCCCTCTCTCCACAGAGCATGCCAGCGTTCTCCTGCACAAAGCCTTCCTGGTTGGGATGTACAGCCAGCTGGACACCAGCCCCCACATCGCTGAGGCCATGAAGGTTCTGCACATGGAGGGGACGACATAGACCCGGGTTGAGGCCAGACCACCGAGGGCGGCTTTGACACCGAGCGGGGATTGTAAACAGCGAGGCTTTTGCCACGGGAAAGGAAGCGGCTTCGATGTAACGTGTAACCCACAGCTGGTTCCTGAACAAAAATATTCCGGTCAACACAGAACAATGTCAGTAGCTCTCAAGTCCCTTTCCTCCCCGAACCCCTGGACGCTCTGTGTCCGATGCTCTTTCTCCCCAAGCTTGGCTCGGACAGGATGGGGTTAAAAGAATTTCCCCTTGTGTGCACCGAATGCTTGGGATTCTTTGAGATGAAGTGACTGTCGAGTAGAGCCATAGGCCAGAGGAGACGGCCTTGGAAGAGAATTATTTGCGGTGGGGGGGATGGGGAGGAAAAAGTCAAGTTATGAACTACGAGGTCGCACTTTGGAGAAAGTATTCTTAATTAATCTCCTCTTCCCCTCCCACCACCACCAAATAATGCACACACTGTACAGTAAATAAATTTGCGTCTATTATTTTTTGTTAAGGATGTGTTGTGCTTTTGTTGGGGGTGGGGGGGATATTAAAAAAAACAAAGTAGTTTTAACGTTAACATTAGTTTTTAACTAACTGCTACAACTGGGCGCACAGGTGTTGAGGCAGAATGATTGGCAAGACCATTAATGTTACCAGCATGTGTCAGAAGGGGTTATTGATGTAGCTGAAACTGGAAAATATTTAAGTTATGGGGAAGGAAGATTAAGGCTTTGTGAAGGACTGCTCGTAAAAGGAACGTATTTGAAGCTTTGAAGACCGTTTGGCTGTGAGTGTGTGTAATCCTTCCTTCCTGTCTGTCTGTCATGACTGACTCACACACACACACAATGCATGTATGTGCATCCCCTCTCGTGTTAGCCTGACTCAGTCAGTCACAGTCACGCTCTCTCCTCTGGATCAGAAGGTTCTGGCTTCAAGCTGCATGTTAGGGACTTTGAACTCACAGTCTGTCTATGTTGGCTGATGTGCCAAAATTACATTTATAGAGCGCCTTTCACGTCGGGAGGACATCCCAAAGCGCTGAACAGTCAGATGTCGGGGCCCGAGCATGGGGGAGGGGTGGTGTAGAGGTGAGGGAAGACAAAGAGGTGGGAGGAAGACCAAAGGCACGGTCGAAGAGAAGGGTCTTGAAGCCGGCCTTGAAGGATGCAAGGGAGAAAGCGAGGCAAAGGGACTGTGGGATGGAGTTCCAGAGTATGGGGGCAGAGAGGCTGAAAACCTAGCCACCGATGGTAGGGCAAGTCGGGCGGGAGACCTGGAGCAGGCCTCTCAAGCAAGGGGACCTGGGTTCGATTCCTGGGCAGGACAAAACCTGAGGCAAGTTTCCTCACTGCACACAAACCTGTTTATGTAGCTGTAAGTAAGAGCCCTGTTAGTCAATTGGTGGATCTCTTTCCGGGTGTAATAATCCCTCCCCTCTCCCCCCAAATATATTTGGTCACTAATTCCACGAGCAATTGGCTGCCGCGTTTCGCCCACAAAATACACATTCAATTCACTTTACAATATATTCTGTGAAGCACTTTGAGACTTGATAAAGCGCTATATCAAATGCAAGGATTATTATTGTAATATGGGGGGAGCGCTGATTGTCAAAGCTGCTGTATTTTGGTTGAGGCCTTAAACCGAGGTCCCGTCTACCTATTCAGGTGGATATTAAACATCCCATGATTGTTGGGAAAGAGAAAGAAGTTTCTCCCATTGTCCTGGACAGATAATTTGGTCATTCATTTCATGAGTGTTTGCGGGACCTTCCAGTATTGTATAATGGCTGCGGTGCTCACCTGCAAATAGTCACTGCACTTGACCGCAATTCCCTACAAAGTAGTTGGAGATGTGTTGACATTATAAGCGATACGTCAAACGCTGGGATTCTTCTGGTGTGAGTTGTGCGGTTACAGATTTGCTGGTGTGAATGGGACGTGCGCTGGTTGTGTCCTTGTGTTGTGCATCTTTGCAAATCTTTGTGCTGAGTTACACAAGGGGGGAGGAGAGCAGAGTGGCCTTGTAACAGAGCTGTGAGCTTCGGTTACTGTTTACTCTAAACCCTTATACTTTACGCTGCAGTTGGAGTAAATTCACCGTGAAACATCGTCACCGATTCAGTGCAGGTCGCGGTTTGAAGTTTTCGAGTAACATAATTAATAGCTGCTGTAATCCTACCCCCTGCCCCCTCACCATTAATTACCTTGAGTGATATTCAGACACGGAATGTGTTTGCCGAGTGTGTGCTGGGAAGCACCGAGTTTGTCCTAACATCCCAGTTTTTCGTTTCAGACCTACAGAGCGTCCGTTCATGAGATTAATCACCTGTTTCTAACTCCACGGTGGAGTGTATTGTATCTAGCTAACACAGGATTTCCCTGTGCTCGCACTGATACCAAGCGAGCGGGAGTTTGAAAGAGGAACCGTGTTAAATTGCATCGAAGCTGTCAGGTTAGATCGTGAAAACGGATGGTTTTACAAAGATCCGATTTTTTTCTGGTGAATGGCAACTTTTGTGTGACTGTGCGTCTGTCTGCCTGTGTGTCTGCATGATTGTCTCTCTTGTGCCTATGTCTGTCAGTCACCATTTGCCTGTCGAGTAAAACTTGCGTAAGTCGGGACCATAATATTTAATATGACTCACGCAAAGTCCAAGTTACAGGCAAACTTCTAGAAATCGCATAAAATCCAATATAAACAAAAAGCTACACTGCGCATTCGTAATTTAATGCATTCAGTAAGAATGGGAATCATGGAAGAAAGGAGAGCGATGTTATTAGTTAGGAGATGATTCGCTTATAAAATACGATTCGTGCAAAGTGGTTTTAATAGGAAACTGAATGGGACTCAGGTCCATGTACGACTTAGATCACTACGATTTATAAAGATAAGACTTTTTGTATTTTGCTTTGTCTATGGATTGGACTGTGTCTCGCTCTCTTTGTCTATGTTTCTGTGTGCATGTTGTCAGTCTGTGTGCATGTCTGTATGAGTGTGCATCTGTGTATGTCTCTCTCCGCCTATGTTCATCTTTGTGTGTGTGTGTGTGTCTCTCTCCTCTCTGTTGTGTGTCAGTGTCTGTCTGTCAGTGACTGTCTGGAAAACCTCCTGGCTGCTGAACCTGGTAGTTTCCGGATGGCTGGAACGGACGCAGGAGGAAAGTTTCGGCTCAAAGCCAGAATCCCGTTTACTCTGTAAGTGAAGTGGAACGAGCAGAGTGACAGGTGGAAAGGAAAAACCCAGGCAATTTACACTTAAGAAAGTGACACAGTTTAAGAGGGTTATTAGGAACTGCTACAACACCTGAGTTTTATATAGTTTTTTTCTCGGTTGCTATCAATTCTCAACGCTGTAATTTATCTTATATTTATCTGTTAACACCAGAAAATCTTGTCGTCGTGTCTCTCAGTGCTCCCACGTGTAAGTCAGCTGAAGGCCATGTTTCGTCCAAGTTTCCCTCATAAATAAATAAATAAATAATAATAATCCTTGCATTTGATATAGCGCTTTTCAGTGTTTCACCCACCCATCTTCACGTGTGAAGATAAAACTGTGTTGTCCGTTTGGCTCCTGCTCTCGTCCCAAATCCACTCTTCCAAGTCTGGGAAAGACTGAATTGCAGGTCAGGAGTGGGAATCTTGTCTGATTTCCCCCCCCCCCCACCCACTTTCTTCCCTGAGATCACCACAAGACAGTGTAGGAAAACTCTCATCAAACATCTTAAGACCTTTCACAGAGCAAAATACAGGACTGAGTGCAGAGAGACTCCTGCAATGTATAGACACGGAAGCAGGGGTTTGCCCTACCAATAGTCAATGCCACCATATTTACTGTCCTGTGGGTTCACAGCACATTGAGTGTACTGTTAGCACAGGCACAATGAGGAAAAGACAAAGAAATGGCTTTAATCAGAACTCCAGTGGAGGAGCGAGCACCAGCACAGACACAGTGTGGAGAGAGAGAGCAGGGAATGGGGTTAGAGTGGAGAGCTCCAGTGTGGGGGAGAGAGCCCCAGCACCGACACGATGCGGAGCAAGTAGAGCAAATGGGTTGGGTGCGGGGGTAAATCCAGCTGAAAATCCTCTAGCGTGCCAAGGGTTAAGGGTAAGTGCCTTTGGGATTTGCTTTTAGGGATCAATTTCCTGATTTTCATTGGCCGAGGCCCTAATTGATTGTTAATGGACGCCTCTGAGACAGAGGTGTGCATTCCGAGGGACCAGCGAGTCTACACCTGAAGCCGCACGCACACCTGCCCAACCTGCTCCTGTCTGCAAACCAGCTCGCGAGCCCCCTCGCCTAATTCCCCTCCACGCATGAGCTGCCGTGTGCTAGCGCTGAGGTATGTAAACCGCTTTCCGGGCCCAATTTCCCACTTTGAAGTCTGAAGTGTGATTGCCTTGGACTCCCGAGTGTCTGCTCTATGAGCTCATCTTCCATTCTCACGTCTTCTCACTGTCAATGATCCAGGACTAAACCAATCAACCCTCTGAACCAGAGTCCGATTACACAGCGAGAGAGAGAGAGAGAGAGATTCAACAGAGATGCTCAACAGCAATGGGCTTTAGGGAGTCTTCTTGTCGAGACCCCTTTCATTGGGGAAATCTTGCTTTATGTTGTCACTGGATTCAGCAGTGCTGGCTCTTTAATTAATAATAATACGTGCATTTGATATAGCACCTTATATCGTTCAGACGTCTCAAAGTGCTTCATAGAATATATTGCCAAGTGGATTGACTGTTCTGTGGGCGAAACGCGGCAGCCAATTGCTCACAGCGACGTCCCGCAAACAGTCGTGATTTTTTTTTATCCTTTCCCCCGTGCGGCCTGGCTGGTTTTGTTGGGAATGTGGGGGGATGGGAGTGGGTTTCCTGGGCTCCCCGGCCTGTAACGTGATACAGACAAAGAGTGGAAGGTCCGGGCCGGGAGATTTGTAACCGAGACAGGGGTCTCTATTGTTGGCTTGATCCCCTCCCAGTGAGGTACACGCACAATAATTTGTATCTGGGGCTGAGGGAATCCTGGGTTTAACCACCTGAGCGCTTTACACTGATTACTGGGATCAGAAGGATTAGAAACCGGGGACCAGCCAAGTGAGGGAATGAAGCATCCAAGAGGTGCAGTGGGGTGGGGGAGTGCTTCCCAACTCGTCTCTAAATCCAGCGACTCGCCATGGAATTGTCCCCAACCACACACAGCCCTGTGGCCTCTCTACCTAATGAATTCAACCTCGAACTCAGATCAGGATTTGTTTCAAAGTGGAACGATGGTGGGGGTGGGGTTTGAAGTAATGTAATGTAAAGAATTGACAGTTATTCAAACAGAGAGAACGTTTAAGCTCTTTAAACCATTCTAATGTCCTCCCTCCTGGAAGGATACACCCCGGACTAGATGCTTGGAACAGAATACCTCACCTCCAGAAACACAGGAAACCTTTTTTTTTAAAAAACCACAAAGTGGCTGTATTGTCCA